GCAGGATTGAAGCCGAACAAGGAAAGAAAACACTTGGCCACTCTTTGAAGATATCGCTGTCCCGCCCATGGATCCTGCTTTTCCGAGAACCCATTGTTCTTTTGCTGTCGGTATACATGGCAATCGTGTACGGAACTCTGTTTATGATGTTTGGTGCCTTCCCCATCGTGTTTGCCGGCCAGCGAGGCTGGAACCAAGGTGTGTCAGGGTTGGCTTTCCTGGGGATCATGATTGGCATGATGTGTGCCGTGGCCTTCAGCATCTATGATAACAAGCGATATATCAGAGCCCTGGAGGCACATAAGGGGTTTGCGCCTCCTGAGGCGCGCTTGCCTCCCTGTCTGGTCGCTTCGGTAGCCATTCCCATCGGCCTCTTCTGGTTTGCCTGGACAAACTACCCTTCGATCCACTATCTGGCCAGTATTTCCGCCGGTGTGCCGTTTGGCTTTGGCATGGTTCTTGTCTTCCTCAGCCTCATGAACTATCTGATCGATGCGTACACCATTTACGCCGCCTCCGTGCTCGCTGCTAGCGCCGTCCTGCGCTCGATTTTCGCCGCCGCCTTTCCCTTGTTCGTAAAGTATATGTATAGCTCTTTAGGTAAGTTCTTTTTCTTTTGATGTTGTTGTTTAGACGAAAATTAATCAGGTCCAGGTATTCACTGGGCCTCGTCCATACCTGCCTTCCTGGCACTTGCCTGTGTCCCCTTTCCATTCCTCTTCTACAAGTACGGGCCTGTCATCCGAAGAAGATGCAAGTTCGCCGCAGAGTCGGACGAATTCATGCGGAAGTTGATGGAACGAACCGTCAAAGAACCACAGGAAGAGGAGAAGGAAAACCAGGGAGTCATGGCGGCGCAGAGTCAGGTAACCTTAGAGCCCACCTCTGCGGAATCAGAGATAGACAGGGTTTCCTTAGATCCTGCTAAACTCAGTCGGAGACAGTCAACCATCTCAACCAAGTCTGCCAGATCGAGTGGGTCTCAGAAGATGGTGACCTCGCAGGATGTCTACGATGCGAATCCCTTTGACATCGACCGGGTCAACACGCGCGACTCGTTCAAGGACTGAATTCTCGAAAAGTAGCCATTTATATAGACTTTGCATGGACACAATAAATTCATCACTCTTCATAGATCGTGACATTCTTCTCATCTGATAAGGCAGTTAGTTCTACCCATTCCTGTTGCAGTAAGATCATAATGTGGATCACGTGGGACCGTGGGGCTTAGCGCGTTTCCGCCCAGCTGTCAGCTATTCCTAATTTAGTAAGGTTCAATCCACAAGCTTCGCTCCAATACTAAGACTATGCCATCTTCTTCTCCATATCCATCCCGGATTTGCGTCGCGTCAAGCCGTCGTTAACGGAGTTAACGGTCAACCATCCATCCCTTGCAGCAAGGATGGGGCGGCCGCGTGCTAAGCGGAACATCGACCAAGTGGACCTCACCGTTGACGACAGGGACACTACTCCCCAGAGGAAAAGAGCAACGCGTCCTGGTAACAACACAACTGCTACTACGACTACCACTGGGCAACGATTCGGCGAGAGTACCGAGTTCGTACCGCTCAGCCAGTCCTCTCAGGCCATTATTCTGAATGAAGAGGACGACGCGGAAGCCGAAGATCTGATCCAGGGAAGCCAGGATGATTCCTCCTATGTTAGCTTCATGCACTACGGGAGCCTGCGAACCAAGATCGTGGGGGTCCGGTACTACAATGGCTACGCGACTGTTGGCGAACACGTGCTTCTGCACCGTGAGCCTAATAACCCGTATGACCGGAATGCGATCCAGGTTTTGAACGTCATGGGGAATCAGATTGGTCACATCCCCCGAGATGTAGCTGCTCGATTGGCAAAGTATATGGTAAGGGGATGAAACGGAGCTTCTGTAAAGGGGTGGCATGGTTCTGGACTCGATTTAACGTCATTTAACGTAGGACTCGAAGTCGCTATTTATCGAAGGCGTGTTGACGGGAGAGATTGGCTCGTTTACATGCCCGATTATGCTGAAGCTGTACGGTACTAGTCATCCGGAAGAGCGGCAGCGGCTGAAGCGCATGATGATTGATGACCGACTTCCCCTGACCGAATTTAATCGGTGGGAGACTCAAGAGCGCAAACAGCGCGAGCGGGCGCAGAAGGAGGCTGCCAAAAGGGGCCGTGGTCTGGCGTCTGGCAATGGGCAGCAGTGGGAGGCTGGTGTCAACCCGACGTATGCTAACCTTTACGCGGGTGACGGTTTCGGTCAGGCTGGCGAGAGTTTGGAAGACATTATTGGTCAGAGCAGCACCTTTAATCCTCGTGATATTGGCCAGGTGACGGAGAATTTCGGGTTGAATGAGGCAGACTTGGTCAATATGCCTATGGCAGATACTCCCGCGGCGCTGTCTACCGAGCTTCTTCCGTACCAGCGGCAGGGACTGGCCTGGATGATCGAAAAGGAGTCTCCGCAACTGCCTGGGCCTGGTTCTCAGGACGTGGTGCAGCTTTGGAAGAGAGCTGGAAACAGATTCACCAATATCGCCACCAACTACTCAACGGCTATTCCACCCCCTCTTGCAAGTGGCGGTATTTTGGCCGACGATATGGGTCTGGGCAAGACGATTCAAATCATCTCATTGATTTTGGCAAACTCGCAGCCAAAAAGCCCAGAATCATCCAAGACTACTTTGATCATAGCACCTGTCGGAGTCATGAGCAACTGGAGAAACCAGATCAAAGACCATACCCAGAGTGAGAGCACGCCAAGTGTGCTCATCTACCATGGTGCCGGGAAGAAAGAGGCTGCAAAACTCGAGGAGTATGATGTGGTAATAACGAGCTATGGTGCTCTCGCTGTTGAGTATAACCCGAATGCTAAAGCAGCGCCTAAGAAGGGGCTCTTTGCCGTTCATTGGCGTCGTGTCGTGCTCGACGAGGGGCACACAATTCGAAACCCCCGAGCTAAGGGTGCGCTGGCTGCTTGCAATCTGTGCGCCGATTCGCGTTGGACCTTGAGCGGCACGCCCATTGTAAACACTTTGAAGGATCTGTATTCCCAGATTCGCTTCCTGAGACTGACCGGTGGCTTGGAAGACATGGCGGTCTTCAACAGCGTTCTCATTCGCCCTCTGGCCTCTGACGATCCAAATGGTCGTCTCCTTCTCCAGGCACTGATGAGCGCTATCTGCCTGAGGCGAAGAAAGGACATGGAATTTGTCAACCTGCGCCTGCCGGCCCTCACCTCGCGTGTGCTGCGCATCAAGTTTCATCCTCACGAACAGGAGAAATATGACATGTTCCAGTATGTTTCCATCCACTAAGTCGATGACCGCCTGCTGACAGACCACAGATCCGAAGCGAAAGGTATGCTTATGGACTTCAAGTCCAGAGAGAAGGGAGGCACCACGTATTCTCATGTGCTTGAGGTCCTTCTGCGTATGCGACAAGTTTGCAACCATTGGGCGCTCTGCAAACACCGCATCGACGCCCTCGCGGGTCTACTGGAGAAACACAAGGTCGTCCCATTGACCCCGGAAAACATTAAAGCCCTTCAGGATATGCTGCAAATCAGAATCGAGAGCCAGGAAATGTGCCCTATTTGTCTTGATACGTTAGAGCAGCCCGTTATCACCGCTTGCGGCCATTCCTACGACCGAGGCTGCATAGAGCAAGTCATCGAGCGACAGCACAAGTGCCCCCTCTGCCGCGCCAATATCGACGACAACTCCACTCTCGTCGCCCCCGCCGTGGGTCTCGGCGAAAGCGCCGACGACGACGTCGTCGCAGACCCAAACAACCCAAGCAGCAAGGTCGAAGCCCTGATCAAGATCCTCACCGCGCAGGGCCAAGCCCCCGACACCAAAACCGTCGTCTTCAGCCAGTGGACCTCATTCCTTACCCTCGTCGAGCCTCACCTGCAACGCCACGGCATCGGCTACGCCCGCATCGACGGCAGTATGAAGTCGACGGCCCGCGACGCCTCCACATACAAGTTCTCCAAGGACCAACAATGCAAGGTCCTCCTCGCCAGTCTGAGCGTCTGCAGCGTCGGCTTGAACCTCGTCGCGGCCAACCAGGCCATCCTGGCGGATAGCTGGTGGGCCTCCGCAATCGAGGACCAGGCCGTCGACCGCGTCTACCGTCTCGGCCAGAAACGCGAGACAACCGTCTGGCGTCTCGTCATGGAAAATACCATCGAAGACCGCGTGCTGGAGATCCAGGACACCAAGCGCAAATTGATGCTGGCGGCCTTCCGCGAGAAGGATAAGAAGGTCGACGATAGGGCTACCCGGATCGCGGATCTGGAGAAACTCCTCACTTGACCTATAGGCTTTGTCCTCCTGTCCCTTTGTTCGCTGTACGATACTTGATACCTCAGCCATTCTCTCTGTCTTTCTCTGACTTTCCTTTTGTTTGACTATATGGTATGGAGGATCTTGGGGTTTCCACATCTAGACCATTGATGTTGATGTCAATGTTTTTCTTCTTATTCCGTGTGATTATTTTAAATTCTCGGTTTATGTCCCGAAAGTTCCTTTACTGCTGGTCAGTGTACACGGAAACATTATCAAGACTAGAATTCAAGAAAATCATAGACTAGATTCTCGAGCTTGAGTCGTTCTACCACATTCATCATTACGTTGGAATCATCAAATGAATTTGAGGACGGCCGTGACTTGTTCATTGTATTTCTCTAAGAATGGACCACGCTGAAACGCCTTGTCTTGTCTGTGCGAATCCCGGTAATGAAAATTGAAAAATTGAAGAATGAAAACTCAGATTCAAAGAAAAAGGAAGCCACATTCACACAAAAAAAGAAATATGGAAAGAAGAGAAGTATCAACGGTAGAAAGAAACTTGTAGACGATACACGTACCCAGAAGGGCGCCAGCAAACGCAGAGACAAACCATGCTATGCTCGCATGAACTTATGGGGATATCATGAGATTAATTGCTCGCAATCAACAAAAGACAAGAAAACAGAATCGAACTAAGGCTGGCTACCCCTGGGATCGCTACTGCGTCTTGCAGGAGCTTCCTCCGTCCTTCTTGCCGTCCTTGGACTGTGTAGGTTGCGAGCTGCCCCCGTCAGGTAAGTGCATGGGCTCCGGCTCAGCGCTCGCACTGCGGCTTTCTATGAGTAATGGTGGGTCCGAGGACGGCGAATACGGCGAAGACGGTTCTGAGAGAGCGGAAGGGACCATGCCGTCGTGCTGCGGCGGCCCGGTCTGAGCCCGATACGCAGGCTGATTGCCGTCAACTGCCCCATTTTGAGACACGGCCAGCTCTGCATTCGACATGGACTGAGAGCGTGGCAAAATGGGCCTGTTATGTGCAGGAGCGAATGGGCCATCATCATAAGTATGAACACGGTCCCCACATTCATGGGACCTAGCGGGAGCTGTAGATGGCAAAGGCACTTGGGATGATGGAACACGGGCTTGCTGCGCGGCCGCGTAGTGAATTGGTAGGATGGGTCTGCCAGGCCAGCTTTGCCCTTGAGGCTGAGACATGGGCACCATGGTTGCTAATCTCTCCGCCTCTCTGCGTCTCGCCGCATCTCTCACGAGCTCCTCCCTCCTCTGTCTCTCAAATATCAGCCGCTGGTATGCCTGGGGATCAGTACGCCTAAGCCGTTCCTCATCGAGCTCTTGCTGGACGTCCTTCCTTTCCTCTTCTGTGAGCTTGTCGTTGTCTTCTCTCTGGAAGGTCTCGGTGAGAGCGATCTTCCGGATTGCTCGTTCCTCGCCGTTGTCTTCGTTGATTATTTTGTCCAGCACATGAGGATCTTTCCCCACAAATTCGGAAATGTCATGCTGCTTTACCATTTTAGCGGGGAAGAGATACTCATTGAGCTTCTTAGACGCCCAGCGAATTGGGTTCTTCTTGTCCACAACCCGGACGGCGAGCTGTGTCTTAAAGATGGCCTTGTTGTAGATAATCTCCTCGAAGGTTCCTCCAGCAATGAAGCGGTAAACGAATACCGGTTTTTGTTGGCCAAGACGATATGCACGCCCGACAGCCTGTTCTTCCCAGATGGGATTGAACGAGAAGTCGAATATCACGACGCGATTCGCACCCGGAATATTCAAGCCCAATCCACCCGCTCGGGTTGAGATGAGGTACACTTTCTCCTCAGAATCGATATTAAAACTCTTGGTCGCCGCTTGTCGAGTGCTGATGGGGGTCTTCCCGTCTAGACGGCGATAGCTACGTTTGGAGACCTTGAGGACGTGTTCAACATAATTGAGAGTCGGTATGCTGTGAGAGAACACCAACACCTTGTCACCGGCCTTGATTGACTCGCTGATGATCCTGTCGAGAAGCTGTGCCCGATACGACAGATTCAGCGCGTTCATGTCCGGCACATTGGCGAATAGCCGCTCTTGCTCAGAAACCAGCTTCTCGGAATCAGGAATGCCTGCTTGGGTTATAGGTTCATCACCCGGTAGCATCTCATCCATACTTGATCCTGCCCTTTGAGCCTCATTAGCGCGGCTGAGAAGTTTGTCCCTGAAGCAAGCTGGATGATTATTGCACAGCCCAAGGATTGCCATCCACGTCCAAAGCTTGGCAGTTCCAACTTCAGTCTTCCCCTGTACTACAGAATCGACGTATGAATCATACGCTGCCCGTTGCAGTTCGGTTAGGGGAACAGTGATGACAAATTCGACCTTTGGCGGCATATCACCCTCCAGCACGGTGATAGCGGCACGGTTCACTTTCGGTTCAAGAATCTCCTTGAGAACCTGAAGCTTCTTGAGCGACCTTCTTCTCTCATAGTGTGTGCTGTCCACGTAAAGACCTTCCTCGATAGGCTCCACATAGTTTGCCTTGAATTCAGGAAATTCCCCAAGATAGCCTTTAGCAATCCAATCCACCATGGTGAAGTAGTCAGTCAAGTTGTTAGCAAGGGGAGAACCAGTCAGGGCGATACGACTCTTAGAACGGAACTGCACAGCCGCTCGAGATATTCCCGAAGTAGAATTCTTCATTTTATGAGCTTCGTCGGCGACAATAATGTTTGGACCCTCCAGAAGCCATTTCCTCACATTTGCATGTTCATCATCCCGTAGGGGCTTCTGCATCTTTTTCGTCTCTTTATTGTGTATCCACTTGCGGAATATGTCGTAGCTCATGATGAGAATTCCACCTTCTTTATCCCAATCAGACACTTCTCGCAACCTCTCAGAAACCGCTATCATCGAAGCCGTAACTTTTCTCAGAGGGCCAATGCGTGACTCTTCAGGAGTCCACATGAGGAACTCCTCGTACCAATTATCGATCAGTGAGGAAGGACAAAGAATCAACGTTTGTGATCGGTGGAAGCGTTCGGGGACCTGCTCGCTAATCTTCGGATCATTGGAAGCAGCTGCAGCAGAGATAGTATTGAGTAGCGAGATGACCTGCATTGTCTTCCCCAACCCCATCGTGTGGGCCAGTAGACAGCCTTGTTGCTTCTCGTCCTGTATCAGCTCTCGCCACATAAACTGAATACCATTCAGTTGATGCGGCTTTACGCGTTGACCAATATGCGGATCCAAGTAGATGGTTGGGTCTCCAAAGCTCACTGCTTGACGAGTAGGATCGGTGTTGCTCACACCCATAAGCTTCATCTTGTGTTCAAGCCTTCTTCGCTCTTTTTCCTGTCGTGCTACACGCTGCTGTGCACTTGCTTGATTTCGTTTGGCATCTTGACTTTCTTTGACTTCCTTTTTCCGCTTCCTGTGAGGCGCATTGACACGTTCAGACTTTTCTCCCTCCGACTCATCGACATGCTCGCTTGAGGTGCGAATACTCTTTTCACTTGGTTCTCTATCGAACTTCCGACCTTTGCAAAGTCCTAGTCCCTTGCAAAGCTCTTTGTGGAAGACTCTGAAGTCAGCAATTTCTTCCTGTGCCTTGCGGATACGCTTCCTGCTGATCGCTTTTTCCATGTACATGCAGTTCACCCATGACACGAATTGTGAGGCGGTCCGCATTAACAGCCGGCTCTTTTCACTATCGAGTTCGGGCATCTCCTCCTGGCCTTTCAAAAGAACTCCGAGAGCCTGTTTGACAATGTCCTTCAACTCATCATATTCGTATTGAGGTATTAATGAAGCCATCTCTTCACGCTCGGAGTCAGGCATGGTTGCAATTAACTTTGCAAGCAATCTACGGCGATCGTGGCGTTCCTCGAGAAGGTCCCAAGGGTACGACAGGAGACCATCAAAATCATTGTGGTCAGGCAGATCTGGTGTGTTGAACTTGCGCGTCGATTTCGACCCTTCAGCTTTCCGGTTGATGATGTCGGGTCTTCGCTTCGGAATCTCGACGACTACATTGGAGCTGAGTTGGGGAGTAGGAGATATTGAAGGACTTCTTTCGATCTTCAAGCTAACGTCGTCCGATTCTGTCCGCCTGGGTGGTCGCGCAGGATTGAGTGGCGGCGTTTCGATCCTGAATTCGTCTGCTGAAGCCGCAGGAGAGTCCATTGTGAGGTCAATAATCTCTGCCTGTTGCGCGTTCCCGGAAGGGTCAGGAGAGGGTGAGCTGGTTGCCATGAAAGGCGACCTCTTGGCCCTTGATTTACGTCTGATTCCCGAAGGACTGATAATGTCATCATCGCTTTCGGACGTTGAGGGCGTCGACGCCGGTGTTTGCCTTCTGTCGACGCTGTCCACGTTTTCAAAGTTCTGAACAGACGAGATCCCTTCCTTAGCCTCGGAGTCGTCAATGAAGTCATCCTGGAAGTCAGAAGTAACATCGGATTCGGAGTGAAGAGACTCCTCGTCCGCGGCGCTAATCTTTGGTTTTGGCAATGGCTTTGTTTTGGGGGCAGAAGCAACCTTTGGCGGACACTTCTCTTCCTCCAAGACCGAGATACGCCACTTTTGCTTCTGTATATCGATAACAGTCTGCTCCATGCTTTGACATTGTGTTTGTACCTCCGACGTTGAGGCATATTCACTTCCGCGTATTGCTTCGAGCACTTTACCCAACCGTTTCTCTAGCAAGGCGATGTCGCGATTAATAGCCTTGACTTTTTGGTAAGTACACTTGGCCCTTCGAGCTGTGACCCAAAGCTTCCGGGCCTTATACTTCTCCTTCGGTAAGCCATTCTGGCGCCACCGATTCACAAACTCAGCCATATAATCTTCGATCACTGAGTCAACCTCAGTGGGAGTCAGCTTTGCCGGTTTACTTTGAGCAGTATCATCGCGTTCATTAGCAATCTCCTGCCAAGTTTCTTCATCATACTCTCCTTCTGAACCCGAGTCACCGTATAAGGGGCAGACGTCTTGATTGTCTTCCGCAGCAGGGTATTTCTGAAGGAGGTATGAATAAGGGTCGGATGGCTCCAGTGTTTGCGACAGTCGCGAGCCGGCAGCCCTTGCTTGTTCTAACTGGGGCCATTTCTTTATGTCCTCTTGTGTAACTGACACATTTCCACTTGTGGCAGTGTACAACGTGAAGAATTTCTTGTCGTGCTCGCTCACCTTTGAGTAATCATATGGGATCAGAGCCATCTGACTACTTTCATTATCAGAACTCAACTGCATGGGTTGCTGTCTGAAGAAATAGTTCATGCACTTTCTCACGAAGTGGCGCTGAGCGGTAGGCAAATTCTGAGGACCAAGCATTACGAACGAATGATCCTCCTCATCAGAGGTAGACGGATAGAATAATTGCGAAGGCAGAATCCGATCTGGTCCCATGTACCAGTCCTTGTCTTGCGGAGAGCTCGAGGACTTTAAGCCATGAGGGTTCTTTTGTGATTCGGGCAGAGAGCTCAAATCCAGCCGGCGTCGCTTCTTTCCTTCAGCATCAACCACGATGTGTTCATAAGCACGTACGCGGTCGCCAGGGTTGGATGGATCTTTACGTTGTCCCGCAGGTGGGGCGAAGCTTGGAGGTCTCTCGCTGGTAGTGGTTGCACTTCCACTAGCTTTAGCAGTAGCGGTCGTTGTAGCAGACTCGTCGCCCCTCAGATCACTAGAAGTCGCAGCATCCGGTGGAAAGGACCTTTTATTTTGGGGAACTGTAGATGCTGAGGGGGTCATCCAACAAGGGCGCTGTATCAGGCTCTGAGGAGTCGCTGCTGGCAGCACGGAGTTCTGATGAATCGGTGACGAGAATTCTTCGAAAGAGCCTGGAATAACAGCTGTTAAGTGACTTGGGGTAACTGAATACCGGCGATCATCAAGTTGCGAAGCAAACTCCACCCTCGAACGCTGGTATTTCTGAGAACGTCGCTGAAGGTAGCGTATTGCCATAAGCATAGAGCTACGATGACCGATAGCTTTGAGTCCAAGCTCTTCCCGTAGAGTTTCCTTGTCGACATCATGCAACAGCACCTCCCCGGTTATCAAATTTTCTCGAAGAGCGGCTTCGAATTGGACAGGGTTTGGCCGAGGGGCCTGCGACGCAGACTGCGACCACGGTGTCTCAGGATTATGGCAGAGGAAGGCTACTACTTCGTCAACTGTCCAGTCGAGGGGATCGCCATCATCAGATTCCATCCCGCCTGGTGGAGCTAATTTTGTTAATGGAGCCTCAACGCAGCACAGTGAGTTGAAGCCAGGAGTATCTTACGGTAAGCCCATCAGCAGGGCCAGCTTATCACTGAAATTGTGTTTTCTCTTGAGTGATAAGGCACCATTGGGTCACATGAGAGGTGAGATCTGAGAGAAGCGAAGGACGAGCAAGAAAGAAAAGAATTGGGCGAGCTACTGAGAGGGACAAGAGAGTCGCGATCTCACAAATCTCGCATGCACTGAAATCTAGCTGCTGGACATATGGAATCAGAGTGCAAGCTGTCTGTACTGATTTTGCGTAACGGAAGATTTCTGATGAACTGATCGCGTGGATGGAACGAGACGCGCCAAAATGATACTGCCGGAAATGGCTATCGGCGGTTGGTTATCGCGATAGAGCTCTTTTTCTGCCAAGTATGCAAGGCGGTACAACAGGCGGTATGCGGCGTAGTCCCACCAAAGCTCCGATGATTAATCGCCGACGGCCCCTCATCGACAGTATTAATAATGGCCTTTTCTTGCAGGAGATGTTGATATATTAGCATCTGAACCTCCTCAATTGACCTCCGACTGCTTCTCTAGGCTTTCTTGAGTACTGAGATTCTATATTACAGGATATACACCGCTCTTCAAAATGAGTGACTCGATATATGCTAATTATCCTCCGGGACTGGACCCCGCACAGAAGGAATTCCTGGTGAAGACTATCAAGGATTGGGCGACGCAAAATGGCTTGATGGTCCGACCTCATCCTTCGTTCGTTTCAAAGGAGTCTGACCCATATGGTGTATTGGCGACGAATGCTCCAGTGACGTTATTTCCGAGTCTGTTCCCAAGGGCATGCTTTGAAGAGGCCAAGGCATTGCAGACCGTGTACAACAAGCTTTATGCCGCAATTACATGTAATGAGGAATGGCTTGGCAAGATTATGGAAGAGTAAGACTCTGATGCTTTTCTGTGGCCTAGATTCAATGCAATGCTTCTTCGGAGTACAGCATCTGTGGAGAGTTCTGAACTAAAACTGTTTGACCTGTAGTCTGATTGACGTTGACGACTTCATCTCCGGTCTGTGGAAAGTTCACATCTCAGTCAAGAAGGGGGGGGGATATGTTCAGAATTTGTCGCTTGGTTTATACCGATCCGATTACATGGCTCACGCTCCGACAAACACGGACGCCCCGTCTTTGAAGCAAGTGGAGTTCAACACTATCTCGTCGTCCTTCGGCGGCCTATCTTCTCTGGTGCGAAAGCTCCATTCAGAGCTTCTTACCTCCCCGCCAGGCTATCCCATTTCTTATCCTTCCCACCCACTATTTGAGTCGAATGTATCTCCCGAGAATACCGCTGTGGAGACCTTGTCAGCCGGGCTGGCTGCGGCGCATTCCGCTTATGGGCCTTCGAAGTCGAACCCGGCTCTTCCCACGTGTATTCTGTTCGTGGTACAGGAGAACGAACGGAATATATTTGACCAGCTAGCACTCTCCAGACAGCTTACTACCGTTCATAAGATCCCGGTTTTCCGACTACTCAGTACCGAGATCTTGGATCACACATCGATTGCAGCCTCGAACGCCTCTCGGCCTCTCATCTACCGACCCCCTCATTCACCAGACACGCAGTTTGAAGTGACAACTGTGTATCTCCGCTGCTTCTATGCCCCGACTGATTACACCTCCGAGCGTGACTGGGAGGCACGAACACAGTTGGAGCGTTCCGCAGCGATCAAATGCCCCACCGTTCTGAACCAGTTGGCAGGATCTAAGATTATACAGCAAGTGCTGGCAGAGACTGCAGGGCCCGATCACCTTGCGAACTTCCTGGCAGACACCGATCCGGCCACTATTGCTCGCTTACGGGAAACATTTGCGCCTCAATACGACCTTTCTTCAAGCGGACGCGGCCGAGAATTGGCTCTGAACCCCGAGACAGCCCTCAACCACGTCCTCAAACCGCAGCGGGAAGGAGGCGGCAACAACGTTTATAAATCTGCTATTCCCGACTTCTTACGGTCCATTCCAGAAAGCGAATGGAAGCGATGGATCTTGATGGAACTGATCCGTCCACCGGCTGAGGCCAAGAATGTGGCTTTGAGGAGCGATGGCGAGGTTCTCAGCGGCAAGGTCATTGGGGAGTTAGGTATCTATGGCACCATTCTCTGGGATCAGTCCAATGGAAAAGTTCTGCGGAACGAGCAAGGCGGATGGTTGATGAGGACCAAGGCAAAGGATGTTAATGAGGGGGGAGTGGCCACGGGATTCTCCAGTTTAGACAGCATTCTTCTTTTCTAAGTTCCTCTGCAAAGCCTCTGTTACTGATAGATACATATGTTCAAATACTATATTCCTTTTGCAGGAAACAGGCCGTCGATTTCTATAGTCCAATTTCTATTGTCACTCTGCCAAATATGTGGACGACATACCAATGTTCATCAAGCTTGGGATCCCAATCTTCCCAACCAAATTAATATACAAGCAGCATCCTTCTAGATGAGCCACCCGCTCTACACCTAGACACTGTCAGATCGCTTTGAACCAGCCTCCACATCCCTCTCTTCGCCCACATTCCCACGCTGCTTCCCACGCCGCCACGCTTCAGGAAGCTCCTCAGCCGGAAGCAGCCTCCAACTCCCGAGTCGAAGCAGCGAAGCCCTCTCAGACAACTGCCAGAAGAGACTCAACGCCTCGCGGATCCGCTGACTGGGGACATGGGCCTCCTCACCATCCAGAAACAAATCCAGAGGGTAGTACGCCGGCGCGCCGCCAGCCAGAGTCCTGGAGCGCAGCCGCACTGCAGTCCGCTGGTCGCCAGAGCTCGGGCTAGGGCCTCTCCCGTACTCGATCTCCATAGTCGTGTTATACCTGATTTGATCCAGCGACCAGCGCGCAACACGCTCGACCTCGACCTTTCCCACGGCGCGGCGGTGGCTCGTCCAACAGGACAGCGCTAGTGGATTCCTGCACTGGCGTTCTCGGCGCATGTTGAGGGTGTTCTCGCGCGGGCGCTGGGCTGCAGGGACGACCATCCGCGCCTTTATGTCGCGGTATGTGAGGCGTGGGTCTGTGCGCATCCAGTACTCGAGGAGCCAGGCTGCGGGGCGGATGGAGATGTATCTTGGTAGGAAGGGAAAAGCGCGGAGGGGACGGCCGTTGTGGTCTTTGACGACTTGGCCGTTCTCGATGAGGTTTGTAAGCGGGGGGAGATTATCGAATGCTGGTGCTTCCAGGCGGAAGAGGAGCGGGGGTAGATTGTTCTCGGAGTAGGCTGCGTGGTGGGTGTTGATGCAGGTGTGGTATCTGTCAGGAGGGGTGTCATCTGCAGGTGTGTTAGTATGATATTGTTTGACGAGGAACATGGTGACACTGACGATGGCATGTCAACTGCTGCATCACTAAAATGAGCATCTTAGTTGCTGTGACATTGATATGCAATAGAATGGGACGTACCAGGAGTATCAACAGGTGGTGAGAACATACTTATGAGATAGACTTAGTTGCGCTATTTTTGAAATATGATACTGAAGATGAAGGAGAGTAAGAATTGTTATACTGTAGCAAAAACCAGTTAACTCTTATAATTATACCTGAGCGCCGAAGCGTTGTGAATATAACATCAGAAGTCAAAGTGTGAAGAGCTCAGTGCTAGGCGATCCTTGCTTGAGCAGAATCTGAGAATGTGCATATATAGGAATATTACTCAGAGAGAAATATCTCTGTAGGTAAAGCCTGGAATACTTTACTTACCTAAAGTAATATGGTATCTGTTTAAATAAAGCTATTCATAGATGTATGGTAAGCTGCGAGTAATTCCATCCTGCAATAAAGTTAAATAACTATACATCATTATAAAATTTTGGTTAGTTGTGACAAATTATACTCAGGATTCAATGCTATAGACACTCTGCAACTACATTACCGGTCTTTATAGCTTATACTGGAGGGAAATATCTCCGACCCAAACTGTTCTTTGATCTTGTAAGAAACTGACTCTTAAGCCAGACGTAATGTAATGGCAGTCTTTTATATAGAAGTCAGACATGACTGCGGGTTTAACTTGTATGATCACTCGGTTTATGAGTGTTTACTTCTGTCTGGTATTCTTGAATATTCAATGCCTGATAGGCTTCAAGACTGGGAGTATGCGCGAAAGACATTATGAAATATATCCTGCCATAATCCAAACGAGCTGATGTCGGCAATATTGGACTGACGACTTTACGGAATTGAAGGATTAATATTGAAGAAACAATTGATTTCACTGGCGGGCTCACTCTGCCCAAAGAGGAAAGTGCAACCCTACATATCACAAACTCGTGGCAGTCACGCTATCCGCGGAACGCCGCCTTGGCAATCAACCTTATCCGAACGACGCCATTTCATACTGAGACGGTCCAAACGCGCAGTGGACAGCAGAGCAGCTGTTGGAAAACAGAAAGCAAGAAAGACACAAATCTCAAACGACAACAATAGACATGGAAACCACCCGACGACGCCAAGGCCAACTCCGCTCCAGCAACGTTCCCACGAAATGGAGGACTTCCTTCGCGTGAAGGGGTATCTGTAGAAACGAAAGGCCACCAGACAACAAAGGAACAGGACAGGAGACAAATGACAAATTCAAATAAGACGCCCACTAACAAGGGAAAGTAAACACAGGAAACGCAGATATTGAAAGGTAGATCTACACTCACATGACGCCCTCCACATAAGGCATTTCGAAAAGGAATTTCTGCCCGGTGTAATACTCATTGAGCGCGACGTCGTATACCCATTTCAATACGCACTCGTTAGCAGGACGTGGGCGGAAAATTGGACGCAACGTCATGGGTTCGCAGACGAGGGATGGAAATAGTGATTCCGGCGATGGCGGCGCAGTCGTGCAAGGAATTGGAACAACGGTGATCATATCGTCAAGGTCGAACCTGCTGGCGAATTTGGCGTACAGGGAATCGGTATTGCAGAAAGGTAGTGCCTTCTTGAAAGCCTTGTGCTCTCGCTTCATTTGTGGTCGGTGGCGGGCCTTCAAGACTTCGGGCGCATCTTTGCGGAGGCCCGAAATTTCCTCTTCGCAAGGATGCAGCCAGTCGAGTCCTTGACTTGATTCTCCCTTGAACAAAAAGTCGAACTTGCAAGGGCACAGGTCTCCGTCATAAAGAGTTTTCTCCAGAGGAGAGTCGAGGTTGTCCTCCTCAGAAACAGTGGAAGTAAGAACCGGGGAACCGGGGACAGGAGAAGAGACTGGAGAAAGGACAGGAGAACGAAGAGGAGAACTGAAGACAGGCGAAAGCGGAACAGGGGAGCTTGGGATAGGAGACGGAGAACTGAAAATGGCAGACACCGACTCCTGGGAAGCTGCACTCTGACCGAACGAAGAGCCAGGCTTGACCGAGGGACCTGGCATGGACGGGGGCGGAGTCAAAGGCAGGTATTCTCTGATGGGAGTGGCAGGGTCGAGCGCATCCATATTCACGTCCTCTTCGGTCTTTGCCACATCCCTTTTCTTCTTTGGAGTGCGTGGTCCACGATGTCCACGTCTCTCAGGTTTATACTTGTCCGGAAGGGCGATGCGACCACCCGCTTCACCAAGCTCAGGATTTATGAGACCAGGAGTCAATCCACGAGTAGAATTGAGTGTAGGGTCAATGCCCTGCTCGCTCATCCTTTTCAGGACGTCCTGCTCAAGCTGGCAACTGATCTTGTTGCCTGAACTCCACGCAATCAAATGGAAGGCTTTGCGAAATCTGACGTTTCGTTGCTGAAGGGCGTTGCGTTCTATTGCGAAATCCGGGTGCATGCGGTCAATAATGTCTTGTAAATGGATGTGCCGGTCGAGGCGCATCCATGCCTCGACTCTGAACTCCTCGACGTCAGACGAGATGTGATCCGGAAGGATCTCAATATCTCTGACCCATCTGCCGCCCAAGAGTTTCGTCTTGGGCGGCTCCCGCTCTTTCTTCTCATCCTCCTTTGTGGGCTTGAACTGATACAGTATGGCTGGGAGATTGTCCCAGGACCAATCCTTCTGGTCCTCACGGAAGCTGGTAAAGTTCCGCGGGTCGACAGCTTCGGTGCTGCGCTGCCGAGGTGTTTTTTCTGCTACTGTATTAGGATCGGTTTCCAAGGGACAGAGGAAGTCGACTCACTTTTGTTGCCCTGACGCTTGTCAGTGCTTTTGGAGCCCTTGAGACTCTTTCTCTCGATTTTGCCCATTGTTGATGGCTGCAACCCGATGTCAGCCATGCAAAAGAAACGGCGCCGAACCCAGCCATTGCTAGGCAACACTTGTGCACACGTCTCAACGGGCACTCATCAACACTCACTTGATGCTGTCTTGGAACTTGTTGCCGAAAGCTGATCGTTGTGGTGATCTGTGGGAGCAAGCCGGTACTTGCGATGATGAAGTGGGAAAGTGTTTGAGGAAGAAAAGTCCCGAACGAGAGAGATCAGGAGGATACAAAGACGAAGAAGAATTGGACTTCGCCATATTGAGTTGTGAGAGCTCCTCATTCTTTTCGATTTCTCAATAATGTGGAGGCTGGTATAGTCGACTGAATTGAGAGAAGTTTGGGTTTGGTTCTGCGATGGTGATGAAACGGGGTGAGCGAATATTCACTCGACGTGCCTCCTCTAGTCTTTGTCTCCCTCACCTCCTTAGCGAGCCCCTGAAAACCCCGGACTCACAAACACAACTTGACATGATCCGTCGGAAGCTGTCTTTCTGAAACAGAGAATTTTTGCCCTTCAAAATGATATGCAGCTTGCCCATGTTACTATCATTCCGGGGTTGTCCGCCGGTCTCCGCATAGGAAGCGCTCCCGACACATACATCCGCTGTCATGTCCTCACTGACAGCTGCAGACCCACCCAACCCCAGTTCGCCCAGCGCTGCAGGTACACCACGAGGAGGCTGGAAAGCTTTTTTTTTAGAACAACGCAACTGAACAATTCTCATTGGTTCCGCTGAGCGAAGCAGGAAAAGGGCACCGGAAATAGATCGCGTGGCTGGATGGCTGCTGCTGCGTGGAGCCTATTGTCTGGTCTTCTGGACGTATTGTAAGCTGCGAACAGTCATATTGATTGCTGCTCGCTGCTGAATGGGCACCCTTTCCACGGCAGAGGCACGAAGCGAGTGGATATGGTGGATCTGAGCTGAAAATCGCTCACTAGGTGGGCCTTTATTGTATTTCGAGTATAATGAGGCTTAATAGGGCCTTTGGTTGTATTTAATATGTTTGTCGAGAAGGAGGCTAATCAGGCTGGTGGGCTGGTGAGAAGCTTGAGGGTGTGGAAGAAGGAAGAAGATAGAAGGCCATGGGTAGAACTTCCTATTTATAGGTCCTGGGCTCGGTCTGAGAGTTCATTTAAAGAAGATGGCTGAGCTGTGTTTGAAGTACGAGTAAGAGATGGTTGTATAGATAAGTTAAGCGTAGGCGACGAGAAGTCTTCTACAGAGTGTAAAGAGACCAATACAGGAGTGAATACATAGAGAAAGGGATGGAATGAGGTGAATGAAAAAGCACTGTGATATGCATCCCTATCTCTGTGAAATGAAGTTGAACGATGTACATGCTGCCTCTGTCAATATGTCCATGGAAACCGAATGAAAGCAAACTGAGATTTCCAGCGCAAACCATGTCCTTGTAAACCCATCTCGAGGACCCAAGTACTCGTTACATGGAAAAGAAAATAGAAAAGAATTGAAGAAATAGGCAGCTTTACCCAACCTCAACGCCAGGTCCTAGTATGTACCGAAAACTCCCTCCAATTCTTCAGTAAGCACTCAGCCCTTCAAGACGGTAGCCCAAAAATCATCACTAGATTTTTTGGCGGACTTGCCAGTGTTCGACCTTTCTATACTCCTGCGCTTTGTGCTAGCATCGCTGCCAGCCGCCGACTCGTCGACATTTACGTCCTCACCACGTCTGCGCTTCCGGTTGTTGTCCGTGGTCAGGGACGTCTCAATTTCCGGACTGTGAACACGTCTGCGCTTCGAGCTGGCGGTTATGTTTGCGGGATCTTGAGACTCCAAATCCTTATTGCGTCCACGCTTCAGGGTATCTCTGTCAACAGCATCGTAATCGCGGAGAAGCCAATCCTCATACGACATGTTGTTCTTTTTCAAAAATCTCTGCAAACTCATTTTGCGACCAACAGTATCGTCTTCATCGTGGAAGGGTTGGGTGGAAGGCTCGGTGCAATGGGTCAAGCTATCCACATCGGGGTATTCGAAGTCGGCATGCGTGGAGTCAACCGTTTTATTCTGCGACGATGAAGTGGCTCTCGCATTGCTGGATAGAGAAGTCAATTAGTATAGAGCACAATTAGGGCACAGATGGAGCCCTACGTATCCATTGCAAAGCCTTGTTGCGATATACTCTGCTCTGCTTCGATCTCGCGGCTAGCAGCAATGTTAGCAGCGCTCTAAACTGAGGTAAGAAAGCCAAAATACATACCTGCTCGGTTCCATTCTTAAATCGGCTTGCGAAGTGTGAAGTGGGCCAAGACGGCAACCCTCGCCCATCTCACCGGAGCATCTGGAAGTGGGTTCTATATTCATCCTTGCCTGCTTCATATGAATAATGTTTTCTCCTGGTAGAGGGATGCGTCCGCCGGCTTCGCCCTTTGATGGATCGATCAAACCAGGCGTCAGTCCCCTGGTGGAATTCTTCTGGATATCGACTCCAATAGCCTTGAGCATGCGATCGATATCCCAGACGGACTTTTGTACATTCCAATTAGCCACATGGAAGGCGCTGCGAAAGTCCTCTCTGCGAGACTCAATCTCCTCTGCGGTCAACTTGTACTTGGGATTGACACGGTCGATGATATCCTGCTGAGTGATGCGACGATCCAAACGCATCCAGGCCTCGAGTCTCCATCCTTCGACGTTGGACGAGATTTGGCTCGGGAGTACGGCAAAGTCATTAATCTGCTTTCCGGTAATTGCACTAGTTGTTTTATAAACACGGTGTCTCGATTTGCGGTAGTCGGTTTTGGGTCGGAGAACGTAAAGAACTTCAGGCAGGTTTTCCAGACTCCAGTATGTTTGATCGCCATGAGGGGTGGTTTGATCATCTGCAGGTTCTGGCTCAGTCTTTACCAAGTTCTTGTTAGTGTTTATGCCCAAGTGTTTGTGCTCCACTGGTGATGAGGAGCGGACGCTCGAAGGAACAGCAGACTGATCGAGACTTCCTTGAGTTGAACACAGAACAAAAGGCTCGAATTTTGCCCCAGGCTGGTGTTCTGGTGCAGATGGAGTAGCAGACAGAGGCGACGGTCCATGTATCAGTTGAGAAGCAGGCACACCTTGATAATCTGGACGAGAAGACAGTCCCACAGGCAGACGAGATTGCGAGACAGGTAGTGAAGGGCGCCCACCCATTAATTGCGCTCGAGTGGCGGACGCATCGTCGAACTTTGGATAGGGATAGAGTCCAACGGTGGGTCGCAGGGGAGTCAGAGGATCGATTCGATGGGTAGCAGATTCAGCAACAGCTGAAGCGTACCAATCTCCCTATTTTAAGGCACTTGGTTAGACATCTGATGGGTTGGCTACATAACTGAGTCGAAGCTCGTCGTTGGGCAGGCTTAAGAAGGAATTCACTTGCCTCGAGGGTAGGAGTGTTTGCTCGTTCCTCATGTGAATAGAACTCCAGGCCAGTGTAGAAGCCTGGTCCTGGGAAAAGACCGCGACTTTGGTAGAGAGCTCTCTGAAAGAGGTCCATTCGAGTGGATATGTCCATGGTTACAGGTCGCCCTCAGGACACGGGGAACCCGGACCGTTTGCGTGCTGATGTGAATAATATAATAACAATGTATGGCACTCTGAGAACTAAAAGGAATAATATGAAGCAATGATCTCCTGTGAATATGTTCTTTCACATGGTCAGTCCTGTTTACATCTTCAAACATGTCAAGAGACTCACAAAGACCATTCAACAGCAGTTAATGAGGAAGGTAAACCGTGGTCAAAGACTAGGGTCTTCCCAACTAGAGCTGTAAACAATTAAGAAATGCAATTTCAGGCTAAGGATGCTATTCTGAAGAGATTAGACCGTGTTCTGATGAAAGAGTGGACACATCGCCAGTGATTGTGGTGAAAGCAAAGCGTCCTTGGGAGGATTGCAGTGACCAGTAAACAAAAGCTTTTGCTCATCTCTACCATTTTGCATCCCGCATCAGACTGTTCATTTTCGTCCTTCTGCCTCTGCTTTACTTCTCTGTTATACTGTCTCAACTCTCAAGCAATCCATCAATCTACGCATCATGCTCTGGTTGAGCTTCCCACTGTATTCTACTGTCTGTTCTCATACAAATCCAGTATTGATGCAATAGAAAGCATAACTGTCTGGTCAAGAGACTCACACTGTCAGTCAAGGTATCATCGCCTGTCACAGGCATGCTAGGCTTGAGAGATACTAAGCGATATCTTCTATCACGAAGGGATTATCCCGTTATTGGCAGTACTGCGAACTTTGACTCTCTTCCGAGTATGGTAGCCATGTATGTCGCTCATAGCAGTCATTGCGATCTAATTGCTAAATGGCTTCTTATCTCATCATATTTATACACACTTAACGAATGCTCAAGGCAGAGTCTTCGGGCAGATGCAGAGTTGCTGCAGACACAGAAGACATTGCTTCTTGATTGCAACATCAATGATGGTCTAGCAATCGACTCGGTCTACGATTTTTTGAAATAATCTCGTACCTTATCGTTTTCGATTCCTGCACAGTGTTGGTGTTTCATTTACTCTGCGCAGAACAGAAGTATATATAAGCGAGCCAAGACTCGGTAAGTCTACGATGCTTACCACTCTCTCCTCTGCATTTCTTGTACACCACCACAACTGAAATCAGACCAAAGCACAACAGACATAGAATCGGCACATTATCTCCTGAATATCAAATCGTAACACGAATCGCAATTACCGCAGTCCACCCATGAGCAGCCGCGCGACTCCTCTGCTCCGCCTGATCGAAAATGTAACCACCAAATCCCGCAATAAGACCCAACAAACGCCCAAGAAATACAGCCTACAGATTGCATGCCACGTCAAACCTAACGCATCCAGCTCCCGAGAAGGTATCATAGCGGTGGGAGCAGAGAAAGTAGATGTCTGCGTTGCCGCGGTGCCCAGGAACGGAGAGGCGAACGCAGCTGTATCGCGGGTGTTTGCCCAGGTATCTATCCTTACTTATGAGCACTTCGCCTATACAGCGCTGTAATGACGGCTGCTCATACGTGATAGGTATTTGACGTTCCCAAGTCCAATGCTGAAGTAATCCGCGGCTTGAAATCGCGCGACAAGACTCTTTGTATCACTGAACTGGACATTGGGAAAGATGGGGAAGAGCAATTTCTAAGAAGAGCTCGTCAGAGACTCGAAGAGGCAATCCTTAACAATAATTGATTCTCGAGGATTACAAAGTTCTGGTTGGATGCGCCCATAGCTTTCTCACACTCCGAGTCCGCTGTACCGTGACATCACCAAGACCGCGGACAATTTTCTTTATCGCGCCGCTCCGCAGCAACACGTTTTTACCGACACAAACTCTCAACACCCAGGATACTCCATATATCACAAACCCACAATGACCTCAACAATAGAAAAACCTTCTAGCCTCCAAACAGGACCAACACCATCCAAGCGAAAGTCCCCTGAGGAGAGCGACGCGCCAAAACCCTCCTCCACCACAGTTCAAACCTTCACCTCCCGCAATCCACCCTGGACCTACCTCAAACTCCAACTGTACGCTCTACACCCACCACTCCGCCCACACATACCTTAGGTACTAACTTAAGTCAATCGCAGAATCACGCAACCACCAACCTCAACAAGCCAATCTCCCCTCGACCCCCTAACCGCAAAAACCCACCTCACCGCCGCCCTCGCCCAGTTCCTCGGCCTCACAGGGACAGCCATCCCGCTTGACATCCTGAAAATCGCCCGTGAGGGCCAAGCGCAGACAGTCTGGATCCGCGTGCCACGCTCGGACGCTGCGGCCGTCGTCGCGGCGCTGAGCTCCTGGATCGGTGGCCCCGCCGGCGGGGGGAGTAAATCTGCGACTGCGACGGCGACGGGGGGCAGCGTGGCGTGGCGGGTGTGTGCGAAGGGGAATTACCTCGGGGCGGTGGTACATGGGTCTGGGGGCGATTTGTTTGTGCCATAGGGTGGTTGGTTTTGCGGAATTATAAATGGAAGATGGAATGTCTGTGGGTTTGAGGTTCTGTCGCGTCGCTGGGACCTAGAGGGGCATGGTCCCCCGACGCGAACGTGCTCCGCGGAGACAGAGTCCCAGGATTGTCGAGGGACGGGTGCTATCTACATGCTCCGTTGGCCAGAAGAGCCAATGGCATAACAAGCCCGCCAGATCAGACGCAAAGGCAGCGTCAGGCGTGATAACGCCAGAGCACCGGACATGCAGGACACTCATGACAACAGATGCACCCGGATGAGTTTGCCTTACGAACATTCATACAATGGGTCGTCGCTTAGGTCGCGGACAGATGCTCCTGCAAATATTCATGGCTATTGTATGAAATGCTAGCATATAAACAGTCCCACATGACCAATATTCATAAACGAGAGATATATCCACAATTTGCAAATGCCCTTTCTGTTCAGACAAAACACCGAAACTCGCATGCTCGATTGAAAAACGATCAATGCCGACGCTGTACAAACACGATAAACGATGGACCCTGGTATACAGATTTCAATCTAAATCAAACTTTTTCGTTTTATTTCACTTCCGACGAAACTGTAGCCACATCTCAGACGGATGCCTTGGCCACGCTCGTATCGGTCCGTGACCGTAGGCTTCCGTCCCCTAAGATGGTGGACGAGTCCGACCCACCCGAGGACGGGGTGTTGGCGACGACCTTTGCCCGCAGCGCGGCGCGGATATCCTCGACGCTGCGGTCCCTCCAGTCGGGGTATCCAGAGGTGCTGAGAGGGAAGAGAACGAGGTTTTCGTCACGGGAGGTGAAGTCGTCCACCTTGGGGGGCGGCATCGCGGTGATGATGTCGAGCTCGACGGCGATCTGCCTGCAGTATGTGTCCAAGGGGAGATCGTTAACGTCATGGCCAAAAGGGTTCTCGATTTCGCTGCCAATCGTGGCGAGTCCGAGGATGATGTATGCCGCGACTGTGCAAGTTAGTTTCTGCACACATATGCGACAAGAGGTAGAGGGCTTACCGATAGAGCCGGGAATAGTGATCCAATGCAGGGCGGGGTAGAGCTGGAATGGAAGCACCAGGACATAGATCCAGGCAATTTGAGCAATGGAAATACTGTAGGCCACCGGCAGTGGTGTATCCAGCACACGTTCGGTTCCAGTGAGGACTTCATTCAAGGAACACAGAGCAGCAACTGGTGGAAGTAATCAGCGACATGGCCCAGACGCCAAACGGCACTTGAAAGGACGAGGACTTACTGGCTTGACTCTGGTGAAGACTGACGGACATGGTGCCATTCGCAATGCAGCGGTCAACATATGCAGACAAGTGATTGAGAATCTCCAGAGGCAGATGTCCCAGAGGCTTCTTTGAGCGCTTGACGAGCTTCCTGGGATTCGACTCGGCGAAGGAGACGCCGAGATATTCACCCATCGCCTTCCACGAACTCTTCTTGGGCGGCTGAAGGCGTGCACGGTCGTGGGCGTCCTTGGCAAAGGTGTCCAGGTGTCCAACGAGACCCGCCAGGTCTTCGTAGCCGATATCTGGCTCGAACCGCAGTTTGTGCTTTAGGGCGACGGCAAACGCGAGGATGAGGTTCATGGCCGTTCTGCATGGGTTAGCCCTGTTCACAATTTCATATCGAGTCAGGCTCACAGTTTGCCTAGAAGATCATCCTTTTCAAATTCACCTTCTCTTTCCGCCGTGTTGACCCAAATTGTGCGAGCAAGGTTGCGAGAAGTTTGAACCAAGAGCGCCCAGTACTTTCGTCCATCTGCCCACCTGAGACACAGTTAGCAAAAACGACGGCAAACCGCAGAGTTGACCGCATACCTCTCGTAAGCTGTAGAGCTTCGGAATGAAAGAGCCAAACCGACGACGAAACCGAGAACCGTGAGGAGAATATTGTTAATGCCAACTGATGGTACGATCAGCCAGCGATACACCACATATTGCAGCCGAGCCACTTACGGGGATGTACGTAATGTGAGAAGAGTGTGATCAAAGTCGACCACGCCGCGACAAAGAGCAGAGGAAGAATCAGTTTGGGCAAGACACTGCCATGCATTCGAAGAAAGACCGGCCATTTCGAATGCTTATCAAGGTCTCGGGGACCGTGCTATCCACCCAGCAGATCAGTACCGGATCAGAACAACAGGAGAAAAACAGACAATACATACAAAGTAGCTGTCAAAGTCATCGTTTTTGCGACGGTGGAACCTGAATTGACTCTCGCGAGAGTCGGCAAGGTTTTCGAGAAAGGTTGGTCGAGGTGTGACGCGTCCAATAGGTCCCTTTTCCTCATGACTGACAGGTTGGTTATGATGGGCAGCTTGCGCATGAACATTCGCCTGGACTGGAGGAGCAGCATCGGTCGTTGTGCCTGCACCCGCAGCGTCTGCAGCAGGTGGAGCCGAATGTCCCTCCATGGTGCTGGACTGAAGTACAGATGGGAGATGTAAGGAGAACGAACGTCGAAGGTTAAAGGATTAGATCGAGCGAGAGGAAGGGGAATTAAACTTGTAACCAGACAAGTCGAGATGATGAACGAATGTTGTAGTCGAATAATCTCAGACAAAAAAGGAAACTCAAAAGAAGGTAACAAAATTAAATACAGAAGGGTAAACTGAGAAGGAAGAAGAGGAATGGGATACGCTAGCCTAAATAATCGTGAGGAAGGATTCGACGAGGCTGTCTTACGGAGCAGACTAGCCAGTACTACGAGATACTACCTTAGTCTACTGCTAATATTAATCATATCGATCGTCCTCCGCATTGGAAGATTTCAAGTCCGACTGGGTCTGGGTCACAGGGAAATCTTGATCGATTCGATTGTCCTTTAGGCTGGTCCAACGCCATGGAGAGTTCTATGGCGCAGATTCTACTAACCCCGACTAATAATAATTCGCAGTTTTAATACTGTCACTGTGTATGTCCACTTTCCATACCTACCACGCAATGGCACCCAACTTGTCATTGTACTCTGTATGACTGAGTGCAAACTGCAAAGTCCAGACTCTCTCCTGTTTCAAAGAGCGCCACGCAACCAAAAACGTCAGCGCGGGAACTGCCGTTGCTCCCAGGCACCATTGCTCATTGGCCACGATGGTCTGCGGGCAGTCTCGGGCCAAGCCACGCCGCAGTCCAGGCCTTCTTCCCATGGCACTAGTGACCAGTCAACGGCTCGTCCAGCGAAAATTTCGTTTCTGAAACAGGCTGGACAACTGGCTGCCAAGTGGCTTGGATGTGAGCCATAAATATCTTTTGCTCCGAAAAGGGGCGTCCGCTAGAGACGCCATCATTTGATCACTCTAGTTAGTTGCCCTTCGTGAATATTCCTGAGTATGTAATGTACCATCGAGATAGGACTGTCGAATTGTTTGTATCCAACAGTCTGGGCTGTATCTTGCCCTGGACAATGACCAGGCAAAGTTATTAACTATGTAGCTCTAAACCTTTTGGGGTATATTAGCAGGTGCTCGAGTCTGTGTAGCATTAGTACCGCTTGTTATATAGATAGCTATGACTTAATCTTTCGCGCAATGAATTATTTTGCTTGTAAATTTGCTAACTCCACGCGCGCTTATCTGATTCAAATCGACTCAAGGCTGTTGTTGGCAGCCTAGACGAGCGAGTATATATCGTCTCATTTGAGTTTGTCCTCCCACAACAAACGTTTTCAAAGGACATACCCCCAGACTTGCTGTTGGGAATCTGTTGCCTTTGCGTATTTCATTGAATGCCGATTTACTGCGGGAGGTGGTTATCAGATCTATCAGGTATCATCCACAAAGACAACTACGTTCGCGTCAACCGTCATCTGATGGCACCGCCGAACTGGGATCAGCCACGATTTCCAGTCATTCCGCTAGCAAACACCCGCAGAAATCAGGCGCTTGTTTTGCTTTGGTTGAAGAAAAGGATGCCCCGCCAGTTCGCCTGCCGTTTTTCGCGCATTTGGATGCCAGACAAGCATTGCCTTGACGAGATCCAGAAACTCTTCCCTCTCCTCTCCCTGAAGGGAGGAAACTGTGTCGTCTAGTCTTCGGTCGGAGATCAGGTCTTCGTAGAGAAATCAACCTAAGATGTTTCGAGTGTTGAGCAGAACCCGTTCGAGATAGGCAACTCAGTAATATGTCAAAGAATGGCCCGCAGAAGTAGTCGCCGCAGTCTCGCATACTCTGTCGTCTTCTCGTCTAACGGCTTGCGGCCACGAGTACTCTCGCATGTAGTGATACCTTTGTATCACCTCTGGAGGGAGTGGACCGAATAAGGCTATTATTTTGGCGATATGTAGTTTAGCATCGTAGCGACCTTGGTGATCATGGATATGCTGGAGTAACTCTTTGCCTTCCATCATGTCCCACAACTGGCCTGGATTAAGGGACGCAACAATCTTGGAGGGTGACGGGACGCACCAGAACACCAAGGTTCCAAATATCCGCAGGCATTTGCCACCCATTACCCAGTATCACCTCTGGCGACCGATAGTGGTCTGGCTGAATAGGCCAGACGCCCCAGTCGTCGTCGTCGTCTTCCTCGAGTCTGGTTGCTAAGCCGAAGTCGACAAGTTGTGGTATACTTCTCAGGATTTTAAGTGGCCCGAAGTCATTACAGGACTGATATACTGGGTGTCTAGTTGAATCAATCCTAAAAGCCATCAGTTTTTTAAACTAAGAATCCATGAAATCACCAAGTACGGTTGGATCATTGAATGAGACTATGATGTTTTCAAGCTTAAGACCTAGGCAGCTGCCGGGGCCCAGTATCACCAAGAGAAAGCAAGGCCGATGACAAACTTACTATATGAACTATCCTGCATTCTTTATGAAGATAATCAAGTCCCCTGAGGAGAACCTGAATATATGCTTTAATAAGGGGCAGTGGCCTCTTTCTATCATTAAGGCACCACTGATACATCAACAATGGTTCCCTTATAGGTAGATACACAAGACATGAATAAGAACCTTCTGGACTTTTGACCTCAAAAGAGTCTAGGAATGTTCAGATAAGTGAGCAACAGAGATGTGATGGGTCTGTCATGGAGATGTGCTCTTCAACCTCATGCTCATGAGAAGCAGAACTCGCATTGTTATTAGCAATTTTAGTGCCACAACGCTCTCTGGCTCGTCTATATGCTTGGTCTGTTTGTTAGAGAAAGAGAGAGATTCGAGTTGAACAAAGGCTACCCTTGCAGCTCACGCGCGAGCCATACTATTGAAGACACGTCCCAGCCAACCTTGACCAGGGTTTGGTAACGATCGGCGAGAACCTCTCCGTGTCTCGCTGAGTAGAAGTTCTTGGAATCAATACTGGCAATATTTCTTCATCAACAAGTATGCTGGGCGGTAAAGGTGGCCCAGGAGAAAGCATGGGAACCGGTTTCTTGTGAAGCAACGCGGACAAACGAGGAAATGGACGGCCTCATAGTGCTCATGACAGACTTACTCCCCCTAAGCCGACGGGAGAATGTCGAAGAATGAGATTAAGAATGAGACCCAGTTTCTCCAGCAGAAACTTAATATCGCATTTTACAACTGACTGTTCCAAGACAATTGCAAAACGGCCAGGGACAGTTGTCCGAAGAATTGCCCATGGAAGGGGGTAAGTATAAGGTAAGTATAGGAGCTGTCATATATCAAAACACTCAGCCAAAAAGGTGACCAGACAACGATCTCTAGCTAGTAAGGATGATAGTAGTAGGGTCAACACAGCAGGGATACCACAGGCGTTAAAGGGTGAGCGGATCAACTGACTCGCCTGGCTCACCCTCTTAGAGCAGCGACGTCTGAATCAGACAGGAAGCAGGCGCTCGCAGATTTTTGCACATCGATATACCTACTGAAGATGCTCAATCCATGTATGTCACTTGAATGTTACATTGGACTTTTGATACTCCTTCGCATTGTGTCGACTCAGCTGAGATAGATGCAGTGTGCCTTCAAAATATTGCCGATCTGTCCGACGACAAGCCAAATAAATAGAGCAGGACTGCCCTCGATTGAACATGATTAGATCGTTGGCAATGCCTATTGCGACATAGGGATAAACCCAAGTCATTATCTGCATGCCCATTGCCAATAATGCAACGTGTTGGTTAATAATCCCCAGAATTTCGGCCTCTCCGGGCCCACTTGGTCTTCCCTCATGCGCAGCATGAGCACACCCTCGAATGATTTGAATCGGCTACTGCAGGGATGTAACCGAGCGATTTCAAGGGTAAAACTCTCAATAATGAATCAGAGTGGCAGTCACTTACTCTGTCGAGTGATGTCAACTTCTGCCTTCAGAGTAAAGAATGATTTTCCATCTGGAGCTCGTCTCATCTGGGACCCCACAACCTTAGCACGCTTTAGCAGCTATGGACCATGGAACCTAGAAGCAGCCTACGCAGTCCTGATATTACTTAGTTACGACGTGAGAAGAGCATGGAAGAGCATGCCTGAAGAAACTACTTTGGCTCTTCGCACCCACCTCAATCTATCTTCCCCAATCTAGTTGGAACATCAGATGAAGCACGCAGGGGAAGGGGATAAATGGGATTTGATTCGCCACTGTCTCGTGCCTGACCATGTAACACTACAGGAACACCCCGGCACCCCTGGCTACTAGGCTGCAGAAGGTCCAAGCCACAATTTACGGAGTACACGGAGTGCGACCGTGCGTGAGTTGTACTTCAATTAACTCATGACAATGGTCATAGGTCCAGTCTCATGATCCTGGTTGATATCAGGGAAGAAGAACATGTTCACCGTGGCGCTTCTTTAAGATCATCTGGTTTAATTTCAGGTCAAATTGATAGACGACTCGATAAGAAGTCTGTTTGAGCTTGTAGATATGTATGTCCTAACTGTTACTGAATGTTTAACCTAGTTGGAAACATAGAACCTGCATCACGTACGCTGGGTTTCCTTAACTCGCAGCTGAAACCATTGATGACCTTCATTGTGACCAGGGTAGTATGTCTATCAGCACCTTCGCAAAACGCATGACATCAAGGACCGCTTTTCTAAGCCCGCCATCCGGACATAGTGCTTCTGACTCAAGAGAAACACGTCTATCACTCAAATTCCCGACCACTATCCTAGCAAGCAGTTTATCTTTTTCAGTGTGGTCTTATAGCATTTGCCTCAGCTTTACTGCCAGTACATCCGATTTAGGCAAGTCAGGATGTAATTCCTTGCCCCAGTCTAGCTAGGGCGTGCAATACTTTGATCTTCTTGAGAGACGGCATATACCCGTGGGGAGTTTGACCAGTGTCATGGAATTGCCAAAGTTTGAGTGGCTGTTTCATGGCCATGTTACACATAACGGAGCTGATACATAAGACACAGTATGATGGAGGACTAGAGATATCCGTCCTGTTATGGAGTTATTATCAAGTTGTGATTAAGCTGCGTCTTGCACGGAAGACGGTTGAAGTGATACTCGGTAGACTGGTCTGTGAAAGCATGATTGGAAGGGAAGGAAAAAAAAAAAAAAAAAGGTGGCATAGCATCTGCGGTGAGTAACCCCAGACAAGTAGTACTGAATAATTTGGAGTAGAACTGCTCAAAGCAGGACCCCGGGGGTTCTGAGAAGCAAGTGATTGGAAATGGTCATTGATAGTACTGAGCCATAATAGTACGTATGTGCTGAAGGAGGGTGGACTTGGTGTCTCTATTAATGCATGCATTGGCATATAAAAGGCTGAAAGTCCATCGGATATTCTGATTGTGGCCTAGGTTAAATTGACTGTAGTTGCACTGATACCCTTGCTATCAACAGCACCAGTTGCTTTGGGGGAAGGACAACGGCAGTATCGCTATTTTGGTGATTATGCTGTATCGCATCAACCTACATCTGTTGTCATGACCACATGACAAACGAGTAGCAAGCCCAAGACGAGACGGCAGAGGGATTCGCAACGTGCTGTCTAGTGGTTCTCACGATCTTTCGGCCAGTTTCAGCGGATGTAGTCAAGATCCGAGACTCATTTCCAACAGCTTCGTCGGACACGTCGGATACTGTAACAATGAGGGAAACCTACGATGATCGTTTTTTTGCTGAGTCTTGGCCTATGATCTCTGAGGTCTGAAAAGCTTGATCAGATGCTAACTAACTAAGGGGCTTAGGATAACCAAAGTCTTTACAAAGATCCAAGGGCGGATTCCTGGACGATCGGCGCCCAGATTTCAAGAGATCGTCCGCTATTGATAATCTGTGTGGAGCCAACACGCCTCGACTCGATCAGACATGTCTACTTTAACCATTTAGAGCAAGTCGAGGTCATATCCGACGCTGAGCATTTAGACCGATGTATGAGTTGAGTGGTATGGCAAAGGTCAAGAATCCCATCAGCCATACTCGCAAGCTGTGATAAAGTTTGACCTTAACCTAGGTGATTGAGAGTTAGAATTCGAGATGTGCTCTTTTCTTCGGATGAAAGGACGAGACCTACCCAAATTTGAGCCAGAATAATATGCCTTGAGCTTGTGATTTCCGTCCATGTGCCATGGGCCGCGGAACGATGACGGGTGGTTTTGGTAGCGGCCATGACTCGCTGGAAGTTTGAGGCATCAACCTTACGGCTGCTTCATCCATGGTCAAGAGCTCTGTCGGGTTCCTTGGAAGGCTGCAATCATTAAGTATATGATCCGAATAATTGCTCCAATTGCCAAACAATAAGCGAATATAGGCTTATACCTCTCTAGTAACGGCTAGTGATTACTCACCTCGAGCTTGGAGTGCGGACAAAACCACAGTCCACATTTTAAGTACCTGTTAGAGTTATATTCATGGTGAAAAATCGAACATCAGACAAGAGTGTCTACAAGATCAATTTGGGGACTATTGCCCTCACTGGTTGCTCTGCCATAGTAGGGATCTCCTTAGATCTCAGCCCACTTTTTGGGTAGACGGATATGTACGAGGCACCCGTGTTCGGTACCATTAGGTACGATGCAAGGGACTGCAGGAGTCCAGAATCCTGGAGGTGGGGATTCGCTTACATCGTGGTGGCTCAAGGCTCAAATGCTGACATACTGCTGGATTAAGCAACCAATCAACGGTCGAGGCTGTCGTAGACGTTTCAGCATGGCACGTATATTCCACCACGGAAAAATCACATTGAGCAGACGTCGAGACTTGGTGAAAAGTGCTGTTAGAACCATAAGCTATTTGTGATACACTGATTTCACCATTTGTGTGGAGGCGGGGGGATACGGACTACGCTAACCGGAAGAAGCGATGGCCCTCGTGGGAAAGCCGGAACCGAGGCAAAATGGGCAGACTAGGGCGTTCAGCGGTGCAGCCACTCTTACACTTGGGCCACATCCTCTTCCCTCCCAATCTTCTAATTATTGGGATTGCTCCACACAATGCTCCCTGCCTTTTGCTTACTCCAAGTCCCACCACGAATCTCAGATCACCCAGATACCCCATAGGTATCACCTTTTCGTAGCTGAAACGAGTCTCACGACTTCTGCTGAGTACTGAGTAGGCGATACGACAGTAGCCTATCAGACGCCACTAGTATGGATGCTCGTGCAAGTGAGATTGCTTGGACCACCTAGGGCTCGCCATTATTGGCTTCCGCGGCTGCAAGGAACTTAGCGGATGTGCAGGGGTCGGAAATTTCACCAATCCTTGTGTCATGGAATCGTCGAACTTGTCCACTGATCCCAGTTAATTCATCTTTTTGACTTTGGAGTCTCAAGATTGGTCCCGATACAGAATTGTTATTGACTCTGCTGAGTGAGCGACAGCGCAATAATGTGTCGTCGTAGTTGGCGATTTGTCGTATAGATCTTCGACGGTGGAGTCGAAGGGGAACGATGGGTCCCTGGATCTGCCTATGACAGCCACGAGCTACTATCTGCCCCCAGCAAACTTTCGGAGATACTACTACTTTTGCAAGCACATGATATTGAACCATGGTGGCGACGAGGCATTATTGGAGGTCTCCTGGAAATTCCGTGCAGCTGGCGGCCGGACTGGTTTGAGAACTATGGAACGCATATGGAGCCAATATGAGAGGTTGGGTCCCCCCCGAAACTTGGCTCCTGGCCATAGTTGATTTAGGGCCAGATTCGGGCTGTTGCGCTCTTGTGTTAAGTAGTCGGTAGTCGGCTCCGTGAGCAGGAGATAACAACTGGCCTGCTGTCTCATCTGCTGCATTCATCCTCTAAGGTGCCATCTGATCCTTTGTCACCATCGATCTCGCTCCTCAAGGGTCTCTGGATTGCTGAGGACTGTCATCAGAGCCTCTGCTTGCCTCGTTTGCAGTTTGATCCGAACATGGCTTCTGGGTCCTTGACTCTTTCATCGCGTTGATGACAATCATGCCTGCGTGACCCAGACCATCCGACGACACCGCTGACCTCTTTTCCTCCACGACTGAACCCCGTATATTTATCGCGTCGATCAGAATCTCCAACGACGTCGCCACAATGAGACTGCCACCTCCCGAAGTTCTGGTTACATGGCCGACACCCAACTACGTCGATCCCCCCACTCGCGGGAATGGTGCCCTGATCGTTAATATTATCTGTTTAAGTTTCGCGTTTGTCGTTACGCTTCTTCGTCTCTACACTCGTTTGAAGATTACGTATAGTCCTGGTCTTGATGATGTTCTGATCGTGATTGCCCTGGTACGTGATAAGACTTGACGAATGACTGATGCTGGATGGTTGCTGATTGATCGTCTTAGGGCTTTGCCATTGCGATGTGTGCAGTCACCTCTCTCGCAACCGTACGATACGGTTGGAACCGACATATGTGGGATGTCCCACCGACGTGGCTTTCTACTGTCTCAAAACTCAACCTTGTATTTCAAATTCTGTTCTCGTTGGCCTCCTCTGTCACCAAACTCTCGCTCCTATGGTTCTGCAAGCGTCTTCTCGGCGCCGGAAGTAAGGGCCTTTACCGGACCTACAACTGGTGTCTTATTGGGGGAATGGCTTTTGTGTCCCTCAGCTGCGCTCTTTTTCTTTTTTTCAGCATCTTCCAGTGCAAGTAAGTTGGCCAACAGTCTCATATTCTTGCTATGACTTACATCTATCTCATAGTCCGATTCATGCTTATTGGGATCTGGCCCCAACTTATCCATACAAGTGCTTGAATGACGGTGCTATTGTCTTCTCCGCAAGTGTCATCAATATCTTCACCGATTTCCTGGTCACTGTCCTTCCTATGCCGTTGATTTGGAATTTGAAATTGCCTACTCGACAAAGAATTGCCGTAATTTCCATCTTCGGCCTGGGTATTGTGGTCAATGTAGCAGGCTCGGTTCGCACGGTGTACGTCTGGAAGAGCATGGTCGCCTCATACGACACCACATGGCTGGGCTGGCCGGTCCTGCTCGCCGCCTCTGTTGAGATCAATATGGGCCTGGTATGTTCTCTGGATGAAATGGGTATTATTGTTCGCGGCTCACAAATGACTAGATCTGTGCATCTGCTCCGGCATTGCGACCTCTTGTTGGTTTCTTTCTACCTCGTCTTCTGCAGACTTCCCGCAATTACGCCTCTGGTACGGGTCGCAAGAGTAACAAGCTGTTCTCGTCAGCCGGTCCCTCGAAAACTTCGCGGCTTGAGTCACGTCAGTATGGCATTGAGGGACTTAGCATTGTGGAACCGTTTGAGGTGATGCGCACCGTTGAGATGGAAACATGGACCGAACCGAGGGTTTCCCACCAGTCGGCCACAGGAGACGACCTGTCTTCAAGCCGTACCCGAGTGGCAACACCAACCACCCATTTCGACTTGAAGAATGAAACCACTGTCTACACCTCTCCGGGGAGTCACAGGTCGTCGGCGTCGCTCAATCGGGATAAACCTGGGTCGCCCTTTGGGGACGAACACCTCATTTGAATGCCGTCCCCTGATCTTTGGCCTGAAAAAATATTCTGTGCTGTATTACTACTTACTCCACGATTTATCACGACATGGACAAAGAGCTTCGTCCGACGGTCTATATACTCTCTGACGAGGCAATTTCTTTGCAATTCTTGTATATATTCATTATTCCAATGTACACAATTTTATGGCCGACTTGTGGAATTCTGCCATTGAACCTGTGGTGGTTCGACGGCCTCTTCAGTTCTAACCTGAGCACACAAGGCACCCTCTAATAAGCTAACGGTAGTATTTAGGTTGAAGGTTCAAGAGGTGAAGATCCTAATGGAGATCTTCAAGCTAGCCGAGCAGCATTATCTGGGGTCAATTCATAGAGTCAGGATTAAGTGCATGTCACTTGATCATGTTTACTCCGCGTTCTAGATCATCCTTGTGATAGATCATATCCTTGGCATGTTAATGCGAGAAACAGGCGGTCCTTATCGTGTGGAGTGGAGGAAGCATTATTGTAGAAGGTGGCAACGAGTATCTCTTTAAAAGTACAGAAGGCCTCAAGTATGGTGAACCACACATATCATCGGAAGTCCATTCCTCTTTCAAACACTCATTACCATTCTCATTATTAATAGGAACCAAGTGACTGTGCAGCTTCATCCTTGCTTCCTATCTCCAACCCCGCTGCTCCTTTACCTTTTGTGTCGCCGACCATGAACGGTGGCTGCAAGCTCTCCTATTGGTCCAAAACGCCGACGAGCAATGACGCGCGGGGCGGCATTTCAGAAGGAGCTCCATCTAGGTTGCGGTCTCGCGATAGACACGCTGTATATAAGGACGTAGACCCCTGGTTTCTAATCGGTTTCGGACTGGCTTTCATTACAATTACTGCTCGACTTTTTCTCTCATCTAATTCTGACTTCGTTGGTCGAATTTGGAGCTTCAATTCCACCTCAACCGATTCCACGGCCCTTGAAGCTCTTATCGCCGCTTCCCCACACCTTTTATCTAGGTTCGGTGCTGGGTGTCCCCCTGGTATAAGCTGCTCGCCTGCTGGACATTCTTCATCTTCAAGTTCTTACTCCGGCCTTGTAGAATCAAACATCACAATGACATTCCTTGCTCGTTCGACCCTCCGGCTCCGCGCCACTTCTCGCTTCCCTGTCGCAGCCCGCACGCTCACCACCTCCCCGCACCTACGAGCAGCTGCGAAGCCTTACTTTGCCGATGAGCCCAGTGCTCCCAAGGTGGTCACCGCAATTCCGGGACCCAAGAACAAGGCCGCCACTGCTGAGCTGGACAAGGTCTTTGATGTCCGCAGCTTGAACATGCTGACTGATTATACCAAGTCTATTGGTAACTAGTACGTGCATCTGGTCGGCAATTTTGGTGCGAGTTGGGCTAACATTGTTCATAGCATTGCTGATCTCGACGGAAACGTGTTGCTCGATGTGTAAGTCATCGTCGTGCTCTCAGAACCGAACATCCGCTCATGCGAGTAATGTCTAGATATGCTCAGATTGCCTCCATCCCTGTTGGCTACAACAACCCCCACCTGCGCCAAGTCGCTTCCTCTCCCGAGATGGTTACTGCTTTGATCAACCGTCCAGCTCTGGGAAACTTCCCCTCGGCCGATTGGGCTCATGTCCTGAATACCGGTATCCTCAAGGTCGCTCCCAAGGGCCTTGACCAGGTGTTCACCGCCATGGCCGGCTCCGATGCCAACGAGACTGCCTACAAGGCCGCGTTCATGTACTACCGTCAGCAGCAGCGTGGGGGACCCCAGGCTGAGTTCACTGCGAAAGAGCTCGAGACCACTATGAACAACCAGTCTCCCGGTTCCCCCCAGCTGTCCATCCTCTCCTTCAAGTCCGCCTTCCACGGCCGTCTCTTCGGCAGTCTGTCCACCACCCGTAGCAAGGCCATCCACAAGATGGATATCCCTGCCTTTGACTGGCCTCAGGCTCCCTTCCCCTCCCTCAAGTACCCTCTGGAGGAGCATGCGCAGGAGAACGCTCAGGAGGAACAGCGCTGCCTGCAGGAGGTTGAGCGCCTCATCAAGGAGTTCCACAACCCCGTTGCTGCCGTTGTTGTCGAGCCCATCCAGTCTGAGGGCGGTGACAACCACGCCTCCCCTGCCTTCTTCCAGGGTCTGCGCGACATCACCAAGCGCAACAACGTGCTCTTCATCGTCGACGAGGTGCAGACTGGTGTCGGTGCTACCGGCAAGTTCTGGGCCCACGATCACTGGAACCTCCAGACTCCTCCCGACATTGTGACCTTCTCTAAGAAGGCTCAGACCGCGGGCTACTACTACGGCAACCCTGCCCTGCGGCCTAACAAGCCCTACCGCCAGTTCAACACCTGGATGGGTGACCCGGCCCGTGCCCTCATCTTCCGCGGCATCATCGAGGAAATTGAGCGTTTGAAGCTCGTTGAGAACACCGCCGCCACCGGAGACTACCTCTTCGCTGGTCTGGAGCGTCTGGCCAAGCAGTACCCTGAGCATCTGCAGAACCTTCGCGGTAAGGGCCAGGGTACCTTCATCGCCTGGGACACCCCCAAGCGCGACGAGTTCCTCGCCAAGGCCAAGGGCGTTGGTGTCAACATCGGTGGCAGTGGCATGAGCGCTGTTCGCCTGCGTCCCATGCTCATCTTCCAGAAGCATCACGGTAAGCATTGTTCAGTCTGACTTGGCGGATGAAAAACTAACGTGTTACAGCTGATATCCTCCTGGAGAGTGTTGAGAAGATCATCAAGCAGCTGTAGCTTCTAGCTCAACGGGCAATTTGCTTCCATTTTTTCGTCTTTTGATTTGCACTATCTGGCGTTATGATTGATTTAAAGCGGATATCTCACGGGTTCGAGTTTTTGGGGTAACATAAATGATGAGCTATGTTCTAAAAGTGGTAATCGAATATGATCACGCTCAATGGATATTCTCCGAGCGTAGAGACAGGGTATCGGTGATTTAGAAAAAAAGGAGCGCTGTGGAAACATCATTGGCCTGAAAATCATCTGGAGGTCTAAGAAAGAAAAAGGAGCAAACTCCAGCGCAAGCCCATTTACTAACCCGATGCCGTATGGATGTATAACACCGAAACTCCAAACTCATGCTGTGACGAAGAATTTGTCCACCTGTAGACACCCCTATATCCAAGCAAAATATACTTCGTGCCAAGGACCATAAATCGATATCTATGCCTCCTCCTCCAACGCACTACCATCCCTCCTACAAGCCGGTCAGTATCACAACTCACGCAGGAGCCGAGGAGACAAACGTACGGGATATACTTAACCCCCGAATCCTCCAAATTTGTAATGACATCGTCCGGCAACTAAACACCTATAAGCTTCGTCCGATATCACTGGAAGGTATCGCTCACCGATCCCGTCACTTTGACAGCATATGTCCCCGCAACGTATCCCTCCAACCGCTGCCAGCGCGCAACCCAGCTCGTCGTCGGATCGCGCAGGGTAATCAGGCCCTCGAAGACCTGCGAGGTGCATTCCTGGATGGCGTCGTTGTTGCCGCGGAGGCCGAGAACGTTATCGCAGTTTGGGCAGCCTTCGCGCATGAATTTCTAGCCATAAGAAAAAATGTGATTAGTGGGAGTGGTAGAGGGTTGAGGCGAGTTGGACGTACGCTGTGTAGTTGGACGAGGGAGCAGACCATGCAGGCGCGCAGAGTGCGCTGCTGGCTTGGAGCGACGTAGAAGGATGAGGACATGGCTGGTCTTGGGCTCTCTTCACTATCCTCTCGGAGACGACTGATGTTGACGGTCGAGCGTTGATCGTGGTATTTTGAGAAGGCAACGGTCGAGTAGAGGATTGTCGATTGTCGAGCGATGGGAAAGGGAAATGCCAAGACCGGACGGAAATGGACCAGACGGACGGAGGACTGGCGCGCCGCCGCCAAAGGGAGCGAAAAAGAAGGAAGAAGAACTACTCAGGAAGTGCTGACAGTTGATCTCTCACCTTTTCCTTTCTTTCTTCCCTTCTTTGTCCACTTTTCTATATTTATTTATCTCTCTCCGCGCAAACACCGCGTTTGCTACCTCCAATCCCACCCTTCTTGTTTCTCCCATCCGTGGAAATCGCCCTCGTGCCCATCTACCGATTCCATCGCACCCTTTCCCTCGGTCGATTACTACACTTCGCAGATGGCTTCATCCGATCTCGAGGCCGCCACCGCACTGAAAGTGCAAGGGAACAAGGCATTTGCCGAGCATGAATGGCCTACCGCAGTCGATTTCTACACGCAGGCGATAGAGAAGTACGATCGGGAACCGTCGTTCTTCAGCAACCGAGCGCAGGTACGTTTGGGGCGGGTCGGGAGTTTACACTAGAATGTGAAGGAATGTGAGCTGCGGATGCTGATACAGTGGGACGCAGGCATATATCAAACTCGAGGCGTATGGGTTCGCAATCGCGGATGCCACCAAGGCTCTGGAGCTGGACCCCTCGTATGTCAAGGTGGGTCGAATGGGCATTTTCCAAGGAACTTGTAGCGAAAGTACTGGCTGACCGTGCTGCTAGGCATACTGGAGACGAGCTCTTGCGAATACCGCCATCCTGAACTACCGCGAAGCCCTCAAAGATTTCAAAACTGTCGTGAAGAAGGAGCCCAACAACCGCGATGCGAAACTGAAGCTGGCAGAGTGTGAGAAGCTCGTGCGGCGGTTAGAGTTTGAGAAGGCAATTGAGGTTGGGGAGCCCCCGTCTGCGTTCGAGGACTTGGACATTGATGCGATTGCCGTCGATTCCTCCTATGATGGCGTTCGGTTGGAGAAGGAGATGACTCAAGAGTTCATCGATGATATGATTGAGAGGTTCAAGAACGGCAAGAAGATTCATCGCAAGTATGCGTTCCAGATCATCAAGGCTGTCAAGGATATCGTTTATGCGGAACCGACGATGGTCGAGATCGGTGTGGAGGAGGGTACTAAGTTGACGGTTTGTGGTGACACACACGGTGAGTTTGGCTTTCTGTCCCGGGTACGGTGACTTGCCCGCTAAACATTTTGCTAGGACAATTTTTCGACCTTCTCAACATCTTCAACATAAATGGCTACCCATCTGAGACGCACGCATACCTCTTCAACGGTGACTTTGTCGACCGTGGCTCATGGTCCACCGAGATTGCCCTGCTCCTGTACGCATACAAGTGGCTCCGCCCCAACCGCATCTTCTTGAACCGGGGCAACCACGAGACAGACGACATGAACAAGGTCTATGGTTTCGAGGGCGAGTGCAAAGCCAAGTACAACGAACGCCTGTTCAAGGTCTTTTCCGAGTCCTTCTCCGCGTTGCCCCTGGCCACGTTGATTGGCAGCAAGTATCTTGTTCTGCACGGCGGCCTCTTCTCCGACGACCAGGTCACCTTGGACGATATCCGGAAACTGAACCGACACAACCAACGACAGCCCGGACAGCAAGGCCTGATGATGGAGATGCTCTGGACGGACCCTCAGACCGAGCCGGGCCGTGGGCCCAGCAAGAGAGGCGTTGGCCTGCAGTTCGGACCCGATGTAACGAAGCGCTTCTGCGAGAAAAACGGACTGGAAGCTATCATTCGGTCGCACGAGGTCCGCATGGAGGGTTACGAGGTCGAGCACGACGGACGGTGCATCACCGTCTTCTCTGCGCCCAAGTACTGCGACACCACCGAGAACAAGGGTGCATTCATCAATATTGGGCCCGAACTCAAGCTTGACTTCAAGGTCTTTGAAGCAGTGCCTCACCCTGACATCAAACCAATGGTAAAATCGGTCCTTTCGTATCTGCTCAACTTACAAAGCTAATTATTTGTCGACAGGCTTACGCGCAGAACTCCATCTTGTCGATGATGTGATATGACCCTTACGAACTCAGCACTGGTTGGCGTTTGTTTCGGATAGGAGGAAGATCTCCCTTGTTTGGTCAGAACATAGCGATCTCTGATTATGGGAATTAGATGCTACGTATGGATGTTTTTGGTTAACAGACGTGGTGTATCTATCTATTTCTTTTGATCTATGTTTTTGATCCCTTGCATAGCGGAACAATCTGTGATCGAGATCGGTACACGATAGCTTTGAATTAAAATCGACAATCCAAATAGCTTTATCTTGAGAATGTCAATTTTCTCGAGCTTTTAATGTAATGGAATGGAACGCAATCGCTCGCAATTGCTCCTGAACCAAGTCACGTATGAAGCCGTTCACGGAGCAATTATCCGCCCACTTTACCCCACGTCCAGCTCCATCGTCATTCAACAGCTATCTTTCTTTCTTTTCTTTCTCAAACTATCAATTTCCCAAACGTCTCCCCTAGCAAACCGATTTGTGATTGAAACGGAAAAAAGATGGAATACGACCCCAAGACCCGTACGTTTCCCATTCTCTCTCAAAGAGGGGCACACCGATCTAACCCCGCCCTCCATCCTCACAGCGCAATACCTCACCTCCGATCCATCCAGCTTCGGTTACGTCTCCGCTCGCGAACGGTGGCCAGTCATCATCGTACGTCTTTTCGCGCCTTCGGCTCTTTTTGTCAATTACAATGACTGACTGGGGAGGGTATAGACCAGCGCAATTGATGATCTTCACCGCACCGTAGCCGACGTCACCGACGAGGAGAAACGCAAGGAGGGCAAGACTATCATTGAGCAACTGGCGAAGTTGAAATATGAGATCCAGCACGACAGGAAGCTGACGTATGTGACTTCATGCTTCCGCTTGTATCGAAGAATGGCTGATTTGACTTTTTTTTCATAATTAGACCGCTTCCTGACGATGGTGAGCCAGGTATTGCCGAGTATAATAAGGAATTGGAGCAGCGGGGAACGCCCTCATGGCAGAATGCTTCGTGGCTGTTCTCGGAATGCTATCTTTGTGCGTTACACAGTTTTAAACCTGGTAATGCGGACGGTGCTGACGAAAACAGACCGGCGCATCAGTACACACTTTGCAATGTCCAAGAACTGGAAGGGTTACGATGTTTTCTCCCGGCAGAAGATGTCTACATTCAAGTCGTCACGTCCGGCCGTACTCGAGCTAGCGGCGCGCTACCATGAGCTTGCACTTCAGGCACAGAAAGGCAAGGGAGTGGACGGCAAGGCCGCTGAGGAGATTGAGCAAACGGATCGATTACTCTTCTCTGAAATGTGCGAGATCTGCCTGTGGGGTAACGCGACAGATCTGTCTCTTTTGACTTCTCTCACATACGAGGATATCCAGAAGCTGCAGGGTTCCAAGGCGCGCAAGGCGGCCGAGGAGAATATCCTCGTGAACGATCTGGACGCCGCCTTTGATGTACTCGCCAAGGCGCAGAAGGAGAAGAAGAACGGCGAGCGCCGTGTGGATATTGTGCTTGACAACTCTGGCTTTGAGCTGTTCGTGGATCTCATCCTGGCCGGCTATCTCCTCTCGGCGGGCCTAGCGACAACCGTGGTACTCCATCCCAAGGTGATCCCGTGGTTCGTGTCGGACGTTACCCCGCGGGACTTTATGAATCTCCTCAACGCTTTGGCCGACGCGCAGGGCTTCTATACGGCCCCGGATGAGACAGGACGCGAGTACGAGCCCCTCAGTGAGAAGGAACTGTCCGAAGTGAGATTCCTGTTTGATCAGTGGAGCGAATTCCACAGCGAGGGGAAACTGGTCATCCGTCCGCATGCTTTCTGGACCGCTGGAGGCTCTTACTGGCGGATGCCGTACGTCGCACCCGATCTGTTTGAGGACTTGAAGCAGAGCGAGCTCGTCCTGTTCAAGGGTGATTTGAACTACCGGAAGCTGACGAATGACGTGGGTTCCTCCTCAACTCCACGTACTGGTATTTGCCTTCATGGCTAACTCTATTTAACAGGCCGCCTGGGACCCAACAACCCCCTTTACAACAGCCATCGGCCCTCTGGGCCCCAGCTCCGGTATCCGCATCCTCTCCTTCCGCACCTGCAAAGCAGATGTCGTTGTGGGTCTGAAGCCAGGTGAAGACGAGCAACTCCGTGAGACGCAAGGCGGGAACGACCCCAAGGCCCGCAAGTGGGCATGGAGCGGCAAGTATGCCGTTATCTCTTTCTGTGACGGCAAAGCATAATTCACGTTCCGTAATTGAATAGAATAGATAATTAAATAGAGGATCATCGTATATATGAAGGCAAGCGCTCCGAGTGATCTATCAGCTGAGCCCGGATATCCACTCCATACCAACCTATTGCTTTTCGGCCATCTTGCTCGCTTCGAGCGCTAAGCAACAGCGGTATTACCTTCGATAGCTTGCAACATGTGCGGCGCTTGTTGCCGGATTTCTTGCCAGAAGCAGATCATGCCAGCTGAATATTATCTGCTTTTGCCCTGTTATAGTGCCTGGCAGAGAATGAAGCCACAGATAGACAGCGGGAGTTGTTGAAGTTGTTGAGTCAACACAGTCCACATTGGGTATTTCCAACCCTGCCCCCATCACATACTGTTTGTTGAATCAGCAAAGATTGTGACCTGAATGGGGGCAGCTTAGGGTAGCAACATACACTCTTGTAATCCGGAAGAGAGGATCAGCTTGTCACTCCAATGGTCTTTGATCGGACGATCCAGCCGGACATTATCCAAAACCAACCCGGTGAAGCCGGAGTCCACGACATCAACTGGGACGGCCATCTCCATCGCAAAAGACTCGGTACCGGAGAATACCGAGTCGATAATGGTCACCGAGCCTGGGATCTGCCCGTTGGCATCGTTGTATAGTCGGAATCCAACTTTGGCGTTCTTGACCGTGATGCTCTTCCCACACCCAACCCCAGTCCCAGAGACTTCGACTGCAGTATTGCAGCCATTAAAGGTCAACCGCGCGGCACTGAACTGCTGACTGCCTCCATCTGCGAGCCGTCAGTGTTGAGGCTTAGACTGCCGGGTCTCACTTACAAATCCCGAAGTTGCCGCCGGTGAAAGTGATGTCTGACATGACGCCCCCGCTACCATTGTCCGCGTACATGCCTTGCTGAGTCTGTCGGGTAAAATAGTCAGCCGGCTCCAATTAAGTGCTAGTGGACTCGAAAGTCTCAACACCTACCGTGGCAGAACCTGCGATGATCTCAACATTCTCAATTGTCGTCGCCTGGGCCACCTGATAGTGGAGTGCGGCCACATAGGCACCCGGATTGCTTGCCGTGATATCGATCTTCAAATTGCGAATCTGGCTATACAACCGCGCCGTGTTGATATACCACTCCAGCGCATTGCCATCGGGCCCGTCTCCACCGTTATCAACGTAGACGTCCGTGGACAAGACTCCGAGACCGACAAAGCTCGAGGCGGCTCGGATGGTTGGCCAGTTATTTGCATCACCAATGATCTGAGTGCCGAAGTAAATGCTAATCGAGCTAGACACAAGGTACGTTCCGGGAGGGAAATATACGATGGCATTTTTGGTAGTGGCCCCATTGCAAGCGGCGCCACATCGCTTGCCGTCATCGATGGCCCTTTGGATTGCTGCCGTAGAATCCTACCATTGTTTAGTCCCGTCGTCTATACTGTGCTTCCGTTAGGCGTACTGACTCTTTGACCTGTGGGATCAGCCCCATAGTCGTTGACGACATGTCGAAAGACCTACAAGTTGCATCATGTCAGCGTAGTCTTTGGGATCGAAGCCGTTGAGGGGATTGGCTGCCGGAGAGTAGACACCTTGTAGTCAGGATTATCTCCTCACGGGATGGCACCCTTTCGCGCGATCCCCTCCATCCAGAATGTTCCCGCCCTCCGGTATAACTTGGTGTAGATTCCACCAGCCGAGCCACCTGCTTCGAGCTCGGCCACCAGCGCTGCCGCGCGGGCAATCTGGTCGGTGATATTGAGTAGAGGCGGCGGTGCAGCCACGTCGTCACGCTTACCCAGCTTTGTCCCCGGCTTCATAGAGTGGTTGTTACGTGACGGGCGGGCAAGACGGGCTTGATTCCGCTTGGTCATTTCCGCAACGGCCTCTCTGACTATCTGACGGGGGGTTGCAATCTCGCTCGAGGTCGCGTTGTGCGCCGCCACATTTGGGGGCAAAACAGCCGCCTCGCCCCGAGGGGAGATAAACGCTCGATGATGGGCAGCATGGTCCCGGTGGGCGTGGGAACTGGATTGGACGAGGACAAAATAGGAAAGGATATATATCCAGGAAAGAGTGGCAGAAAGAGAGATCCACATCTTGCTCAGTGACAAAAGGGAGCGAAAAGGAGCGAATAAGCCAGGTCGGCTCAACAAACGAGTGTCTGGTTCTTGAGAAAGAAGGGAAATGGAGCGACTGCGCCATTTGATTTATATACAGAGCTCAGTTACTCCGAGGTTGAGCCCGAATCAGCCATGCTTGATTATGGGGTATATCGCATATTGGACAGGGGGATATGCAGGACAACCCTGCTACTGCTGATTCCTGCGGTTACAGACGCCAATGTCGCCGCTCTTCTGGCTCGGAAGAATAATGAGTAGAGCGTTGTTCACACCCTTTCTCCGGGGAGACTGCATCCCATGGCGACACGTGAGCGGAGTTGTGCCTTCTTTAAGGTGGTGCTGACAGCTGGTCGAGCTCCTAGTTTGACAAGGATCTCTGTTAGATTGTATAGATTCCCCGAGGATGGCTCTGGATTGTCCCAACACAGTCCATGTCTGAATCTGGCGTGGATTGCGGCGGTGTTTGTTTTGAGGCCATCAGTAGGTTGATGGTAGATGAAGCTATCTATGACCCCATGTTGCCCTAGCGCAGACGTTGATAATCTGACATGCATGAACCAGTCCTCAACACCAATGATATGGGCTTGCTGGCACACGTGCACGGGGCAGCCGCAGGGTCGAACAGCAGGATGCACTGGCAGGGTTCCGGGACTATGTTCCTTACATACTTCCATACTCCATGCTCCGTACTATAATAGTGCCATCATTGAACGGGCCAAATGGGAGTGGGGCCAAAATGTGGCTTGTAGCTCATTTCCACCCCCTCTCGATCTGCCCAGTAAACAAGCTTATATTGGCACATTTTAAGCGATAGGATGTATTGCTCTGTGCCAAGTCGCCCTCATGTCCCCGTCCCTTTTTGTTTACAACTGGAAACTTGTCGTATTCTTAAAGCACGAGACAGCCGAAACAGCCCCAGGTTCCATCCATCCGTCCCAGTATGACATTCCGGGGCATTCGTTACAATCATGTCTGCTACGACCGTGTCCACTAGTGATATCTCTCTGCAGCCGCTGACGACCCCCTTTATCCCACCGCCCGGCTGTGGCAACCAATACAGCACCACGGATTATCTGCTCTACTCCAAACATTCGTATCATCTGTCTGTCTCGAAGGAACTTCCGTCTTGCCAACCATCCGGATGGGGTGTGAGCCAGAGCTCCCGCTTTGATTACAGCCCCGCCGTCTGTCCCGCCGGGTGGACGGCATATAGCATCGGGGGGACGGTGTCGTCGGCAAGCCCTATGACAGCGGCAACACGCAGTGTAACCACCGCCTTTTGCTGCTCCAAGTGAGTCACGCTTGATCCCTTCTTTTCCACAGTCCTCAAACGCCAGGCGACTTTGCTTCGATCCTCTTAGCCTGTTCTCTTTGGTTTGGTGTCGCTTCCGCTGGCTGGTAGATGCACCCTTCCACTAATTATGGAAATAGGAGGTTCACCCTTTCTACCTTATACGGCCTGCCAATCCCCGGCACCTCGCTACCGGCGTGTTTCCAAAGTGTGTCCGCCACCACGGCGTTGCTTCCCCGGCAAACCATCCCGAGCCCGGTACCGACGGTACGCATGCATGAGGCATGGCACATCACCTGGGCCTCGACCGATGTGCCAACCCTTCATCCCCCACCGCCGGATATTGGCGCTTGTACTGCTCTTGCACTGAGCTCCTGGGTTCCGGGCGCCGCGGTGGAAGGCGGACTGGTATGCGAGTCCTCGAGTGGAGAGCCCCCGGTGCCGACCAACACCAACAACAGCGAGAATTATCATGATAGGGAGTCTGACACGGCGACAAGGTGGTTTCTCATTGTTGGACTTCCGATTATTGCGGTTTTCGCAGTCGCCGGGTGCTGTATATGTGCTTGTTGTCGGCAAAAGAAGCGTAGAAAGAAGAGGCTGGAGCCTTCCAATCAGCAAGCTTCTTTGGATTCGCGAGGATGTCGAGGCTCTCCCTAAAAGGCTTCGATGCCAGGAATTTTGGTGGCCCGAAAAGAGTTAAAACCACCTCCTGAGATCGGGACGGGGGAGTCACTCCTGATACTTGGTAGGAGACTCTGCAGCCAAGCGATATAATTCGTTTCACTTTTTCTGCTGTCCAAAGGGGAAGTATTTCGTCTTCGCTCCCCTTGATATCTCTCCAGTGATCGCCGTATTGATCCTCGTCGGAAACTCCCGATGATCGGTCTCTGTTTATGCTGCATTATTTATAAAAAAAAGAAATAATAGTTAGCTAAGCTCCCAGGCAAGCAGAAACTCTATCCTCACAAAAAGTAAGAATAGTTAGGGAGACATGATGAGTGACAACTTACAGGCATAAAAGGAGGTGGTGAAGTGCAGAATACAGGAGGTTCGGTCTAATGGCAAAAACACCTTAAGCTCTTGAGTTAGTGGACTGTGAAAGGGTGGGAAAAATAGCAATAAAAGTTAGCCATAACCTTAAGTGGGCAAGGAGGAGGCTTTATTAGACCATGCACTGTGATGCTAAGCCTCAACCATGTGTTTTCCTAAGGAACACAATACCGCTTCTGGTAATTCCCCTCAGTGAAGACTACAGAGTACAGAGCCAACCCCCCACAAGAACAGAATATCTGGGGTTGGGGCCATGTCACAATTTTGGCAAGCATAACTGTTCACTGCAAAATGGCGTCTGCGCTAGGTGCTACAGCTTTGACTTTATTAATATTTGACAGCATCTACAGAGTAGTGCATATTATTGTTGTCGAGATATAGGCAGCCTGCATCATCTGTGAAAGAGATGAACATTGGAAAACTAAATAGCTCAAACGAGTTGCATAAGGGTATACTGACCAGTCACTGGACGTTCGGGTAACCTCGGAGAAACAAGAGACGATGGAAAATGAGAAAACGGCAGAGTCATAATGTTGAAGAACATCAGGGATATTAAAGCTGAGACCCTTGGCAAAATCAGACCCGGCGCCAGTCCTTAAAACCCCCCCAAACCCACGCTTTACCAAGACAAACAAAGAGAGAGATTTTAAATGAACGAAATGATCATGTATTGTACGCCTTGACGAATTCCTTGGCCCCTTCTTTGCTCTTGCGGGACTGGTCCTTTCGTTTAAGTCGTGCTTGGGCAGCCAGCATCCGTTCCACCGGTATAGAGTCTCGTTGTAACCCAGTTAGGTTGTGTCTCTTTCCCGTTTGTTCGGTGACACGCAGATCCGCCAAGCCGGATATGGCGTCCAAGCTGTACTTTGACGGCGCACGGCGCGCTTTCTGACGATGGGTGCGATATTGTTGGCCCTCTTGGCGGTCGGCTAGGTGGCGCGCAAGGGAATCGAGAGTAGTGAGAGTCGGCAGATGCGTTTTGTATTCATGCTGGTTGTACTTCGACTTTTCAGCAAGTATCTCGGTAGATACGTCAATAGGTGCTAACTCAGGGGGTGAAGAGGGTGGAATTTGGTCAGCAGCAGCGACCGTCGCTCTGCGAGAACGACGGCCGGGAGCTTTGAGAGGTGAGTCTGTAAAAGGCATTTGTCGAGTATTGATACCCTCCATACTCAGGGCTTGAGCAGCTTTTCGTAAATCGAGATCAACGACGGGGTTGTGTAGATTACGCGAGCGTCGGTCTTTCGAGCGTGGGCTGGGACTCGGCGGTTCATCGATCTCCTGCGACTCTTCGGTCTCGTCGCGCTGAGCGAGGGTGCGCCCAAAATCATACACTTGGACCCCCGTGTAGTCCTTCTGCGGACTGTATGAGTGGCGGTTGCGGATCTTACGGTCGGGGACACGCTCGAACGCCGCTACCTTCAATTGGAGAAGGTCAATCTGGTCTTGCATGCGACGTCGTTCTTCATTGAAGGATTCTCTGAGGTCTTCTTCCATTTCGCGATGTTCCTGTGAAGCCGTCTTCAGACGGTTGCGATACTCCTGGATCCGGGCTTCAAGTTTGATCTCTCGTTGCTTGAGCTTCGCTTCCTTTTCTTTGCGTCGCCCTTCATATTTGCTCATCTCTTGTTTGACTCTCGCCAAGGACTGTTTCAGTGTGAGATTTTCTCGAGCCAGCTCCGAGGCCTTCTGCTCTGAGCTTTGTGCCACCTCCTTGAGTTTGTCGAATTCGACTTGCTGGAGTTTCATTTCCTCAATCCTGGCATTCGCCTGACTCAAAGCCTGCTGAGTTTTAAGCAGCTCCTGGCCTGTATCGTTGAACGAGTTATTCGTTTCTCGTTTTTCCACGATGTCATCCACCTCACTACCGACAACACCATGCTGCTCTAGAAGCTTGCGTAGGGTATTGACTCGATGCTTATACTGCAGGGCCAAAGCCGTCTGTTTGGTCAAATCCTGAACCAATTGCTCTCTATCTGCCTTTGCGTTTTCCGCCACCATCGTCGAAGCGAGCTGTGTGACGTGTCGTTCCATTTCGGCGACCTTCACTTCCTCCTCCTTCAGCTTCTTTGCCAGACGCGAAGCTTCTGCTTCCTTCATCAGAGCGAATTTCTTGGCAGCGGACCGATACTGGATCAGCTTTCTAATTTCGTTCGTCGTTCTTGCACGGTAGCTGTCAAACTCAGCTTTCCAATATTTGCCAGACTGAGAACGTGGGTCATCAAGATTGACAGTCTCGTCATCTTCCTTGGTCGACTGCAGTGCCTCCTTAGATGCAGGCTTCGTAGACGGATTAGGATCAACTTGTTGGCCGTTAGTCGTCGTAGAGTCATTGGGGGACTTGTCTCGAGAATCTAGTAAGGCTTGCGTGAGTCTGCTTCGCGGTTTGCCCTTGCTGTCCGTGGAGCTCGACAACCATTGGCTGCTTAGATTACCGGATAGATTCGTCGGTGTTCTGGACGACTGAGCGTGCGCATCGTTTCGCTTTCTTTCATTGTCAATGACACCGTCACCAAACGAGACCGTCTTCCGCCGATTTGCAGCAGTACCCGGTGTCATCAATATGCTTTTAGTCGGCGACACCGTCGCGTTTACTGCCATATCGAGGTCCGTCTTGTCAGTTTTGGTGACATTCGTCGCGCGATAAGCAACTGGGGGCTTCAATAGATCAGTTTTGCTCTGCTGGCGACTCGCTGGGTTTTCATCTAATTTCGGATTCTGGTCGGTAGCCTCCTCGTCTTCCGCTCCTGGAGTGCCAAATAGGGCGCTCTTAAAGGCCCGAATAGCAAAAACAGGAGCTGGTGTTTCGGGAGGATCCATCACCCTTGAGTTGTCTAGGGAAACGAACAATAACACAAAGTCAGCGCGCAACAATGACAATTCCGGTCTTCAGAAAGATAAATGCAGGTAGTTGATCATTGGTCACTATCGACCGCTGAGTGGGTGCCAAAGCACTGATGGAGACACACCTGCGAGATGCGCGACGTGGTTGCTCTGTCCACTTATCCAGTCGAGCATTGCGTCTGCGCTGGAAACTCTGAATTTCAATTACCAAGCTTGATAAAAGACGCATCGCAACAGCGACGCCATTGGTCTATCAAGACGGGTTCTAGCAGGGCGTGAGAGACGTGGAGCGCTGTGCTTTGTTTACGCTTCTCCAGCGACGGCGCTAACAGCGCAGGGCGGTGAGCGGAAAAACAACGGAGCGAGACTGGCCAGCCAATTGAGGGTCCATCAAGTGCCGATGGGTCAGTGCCTTGGTTTATATAACGCTCTTCCGCGCTCTAAGCTCCATCCCGTCAGTTCAAGAACAACGCATTCTTTCTCATCCTTGTCACCCTGGTTTAGTTATAGATATGTTCCTTTCAGAGATATAGAGGGCTGCAGCTTCGGCTGCATCTTTGTCACTCGCGTCTCACGTGGCAAAGGCCTACTGAATCTGGGTTCAGACTTTCTACACCGCCCACCGCCCCGCTATGCCTCACAAGCAGAAGAAGAATCCTAGCCATGTCCATAAAAACGGCTCTCCCCGAGCGGAGAGGAAGCAGTCGACGTCGAATACCACTCCGCTTGCTCAGCCTGGACTAGCGACGACGAATTACCGGGAGATCCACCAGAATGAGGCCGAGGCGTTACGCTCGATCTATGGTGATGACTTTGAAGAAATTGAGCACAGGCCTTCCGCCTGGCAGGTGCGCTTGGTATTCTCCGACTAGGTTTTTGGCGCGGCTGACATTGAGCATTGTAGCAATCGGCCGATGTGGCGTTCAAGCTTCATCTACGTGCTTCCTCAAATCCCGAGGTCCGTGTTGATTTGCTAGTTGAGCTGCCAACGACATATCCCAAAACGTATCCGAATCTCTCGCTGGGTAATTCGGAGAACATTCGTCACAGGGCTAGGTTAAAAATTCAAGACATTATTCGAAACAAACCGAAAGAGCTGCTCGGCTCTGAGATGATCTATGAACTCGCCGTGTCGATACAGGACGTTCTCGAGGATGTTGCCCAGGCACAGGCCCAGGATAAGGATCTACCAAGTTTAGAAGAGGAACGCATGGTGCAAGAAGCTGCTGCCAATCAGCGTGCAGAGTTGGAACGGCAAGAAGAGCTTCGAAAACAGGAGGCGGCCACAGCGGAAGAGGAGCGAGCTCTACAGCAGCTGTTGGAGGATAAACTCAGAGAGCGCACGAAGGCTCGACTCTCCAGGCGAAAGAGTAGGTCTTCCGGTACAGGCCTGTCCGGCTCCGTCGATGCGGTTGACCACTTTCCCGACGCCATTACTTTTGATCCACCATTAATCATAAACGACACAAATGAACAACCGCTAGCTTTTAGTGCTGTATTCGGGAAGACGCTTCTACAGTGCAGTCCAGGAAAGCAGACGTTCACGGTCAGACCCGTGGTGTCCGAGAGCCGCTCGCATGCACCTCTTATCGTCCTGAAAGAACTTTCTCTCGATGGGAATGGGACGGCACCGATTTGTTTCCGGGAGCGAATGCGTGCCAGTGAGGACAAACTAGAGGCTCTGAAAAGACTTCGGCACTCCAATCTTGTGGATTTTATTGGTTTTAAGATATATAGGCCCTTAGACTCCTTCGATGCCCAAGACAGCACCTGGAGAGTATATCTTCTTCTTGAATATGCAAACAAAGGGTCCCTATCCGAGTTCCTGGACATCGTTGGGAACGTGTCGGTGGAAATTATCCGTGGTTGGATGATCCAATTGCTCGAAGCTCTTGAGTTTTATCATCGCAGCGGATTTGTGCATGGGGATATCCACTGCGGACGCATTCTGCTTTTCAGGAACCCGCAAGGCGGCACCATTGTAAAGCTGCAAGGAAGCATTGAAGATGCGCTCCCGGATACGGAGAACAGCAAGAGAGCCCTGACGATCTCAAAGTCACCCTTCTGGATGCCTCCCGAGCTCACACAAGAAAGTACGCCTCCAACAATGAAAACGGATGTATGGGACATGGGCATAGTGTTTCTGCAGATGGCATTTGGTAAAGATGTGTTGCAGCGGTATACTTCAGCGAACGCACTCATGGGAACTTTGGGTTTGTCAGCACCTTTGCAGGACTTGCTGCATGAGTTTTTCAGACCAGATCCGAAGAAGCGTCCGACCGCTTTCCAACTCCAACCATTCGAGTTCTTCCGGGTCGACACACCTTTGATTGCTCGTACGAGTACTTCGAACTCAGTGTCACTGCCCAGACGCCCACGCCTTGACTCGACTGGGGGGCTTCCCGCTTTCTCGCGATACAACCAAGACTTTGATGAAGCGGGGCGCCTGGGCAAAGGTGGCTTTGGACAGGTTGTAAAGGCCAGGAATAAGCTTGATGGTCGATTTTATGCGATTAAAAAGATTTCTCAAAGGTCAGCCTCGGCCCTCAAAGATACTCTTTCGGAGATTATGCTGCTCTCGCGACTCAATCACCCATACGTGGTTCGCTATTTCACTGCATGGCTGGAAGAAGAGTATGACCAGGTCGACGAAGAAGCCATCTCATCGACGGAGGGAGACCCATTTGCTAGTCGGGACGCAAACGGTTTTGACTATAGCACTGGAGGGCTTGACTTTATCAGCTCCAGCGGTTATCCCAAGATCGAGTTTGCTTCTGACAGTGACGACGAACATGATGCAAGCCTATCTCAAGGAGGTGGAACAGAGTCTTATGATGCGTATCGCGAGGAGAGCGCCGCGGGGACTGAGCTTAGTCGAGTCAGGTCCGGTTCTCAGGGTAGAGCCCATCTTACAACGCTTTATATACAGATGGAGTATTGCGAGAAACATGTAAGTGTCCCTTGTAGTCTCTGGAGAGCAGAACGCTGACTTTGCCAGACTCTTCGCGACTTGATAAAGAACGGCTTGTACGATGATATCGATCGTTCATGGCGCCTGTTTCGACAAATTCTTGATGGGCTTAGTCATATCCATAGCCACGGCATTATACACCGCGACCTGAAACCAGATAACATCTTCATTGATGTGGCAAGCAATCCAAGAATTGGAGATTTCGGCCTGGCTACCAGTGGGCAGTTTACCACAGCTGTGCGTTCGTCGACTACCGCAGATTTTGAAGGCAACCTCACGCGAAGTCTTGGGACTACTTACTATGTCGCTCCGGAGATGAAGTCTGGCTTCGCAGGTCACTATAACGAGAAAGTCGATGTGAGTATAAAATACCACAGTAGCCGAGGGCCGGGTCGCTAATCTGTGGTAGATGTACTCGTTGGGTATAATATTCTTCGAGATGTGCCACCCTTTGCCCACGGGTATGGAGCGCGACCAGACTCTACGGGCGATCCGAGAAGAACATCATACTCTTCCACCGACTTTCCAGTACTCGGAAAAGGCAGTGCAGGGAAACATTATCGAATCTCTATTGAGTCATAACCCAAAGGAACGGCCATCTGCCTCGGAACTTCTTCAGAGCGGCAAGATTCCTCTCCAGGTTGAAGAAGAGACATTTAGACGAGCGATCGTGCATCTCCTCTCTGATCCAAATGCCCCCGACTACAAGAAGATTCTTTCGGCCATCTTCTCGCAGTCGCCCAAAAAATACGAAGATATTGCCTGGGATGTGGACTCACGTGCTGCTCCTGCTGCCAATGAGTTACTCGTTCAGAGTTTAGTCAAAGAGCGCCTGACCGCTATATTCCGCAGACATGGGGCGGTTGAGACTACTCGGCAAATGCTGTTCCCTCGGTCCCAACACTATAGAAGCGGAGCCGTTCGACTGCTTGACGCGTCGGGTAATCAGCTTCAGCTGCCATTCGACCTCACCTTGCCGAATGCACGCTCTATCTCTAGACAGGACCCGTCACTAGAGAAAACATTCGCTTTCGGCACAGTCTATCGAGAGATGCCCCATGGCAGCGAGCCCAGAACTCACAAAGAAGTTGACTTTGATATCGTATCGCACAATACACTTGACCTGGCGTTGAAAGAAGCGGAAGTTATCAAGGTCCTCGACGAGATCATTGAAGAGTTCCCACCGCTAAGGTCGTCACCGATGAGTTTCCTCATAAATCACTCCGACCTTCTGCAGCTCATCATGGAATTTTGTCGCATCACTCCCTCTCAGGTGCCGTTGGTCAAGGAGGTTATCAGCAAGTTGAATTTCGGCAAATGGACGATGCAGAAGATCAGAAGTGAACTCCGATCGCCAGCCATCGGAGTCGCCTCTACGTCGTTGGACGACTTGGCCAGATTTGATTTCAGAGGTTCGTTTCACTTTCCACTTTACGAAACAGTGGCTAATGCACATCAGACACTCCTAAGCAGGCTCAAAACCGGCTCAGGTCCATCATGGAAGGTACTGAGTTCGCTGAGCGACTGGCGCCTATCTTCGCTCGCATGAACATACTCGTGACGTACTTGCAAGGCTTCGACGTCAAACGGAAGGTCTATGTCAACCCTCTTGGAAGTCTGAACGACAAGTTCTTCAGAGGCAGTATCCTTTTCCAATGTGTTTTTGACACTAAGCGACGGGACGTCTTTGCAGCTGGCGGTCGCTATGACCGGTTGGTGCAAGAATTCAGTCCGAAGGGTCGAACGAGCTGCTCTCAAACACATGCAGTTGGCTTTAATCTGAGCTGGGACAGACTCGGCTCCGCTATGCTCGAGTATCTCAAAAGTACGACGAAAGCACCTACCAAACATGCTGAATCAGATGCTGGGGCTTTTTGGAAGACCAGGAGGGTAAGTCTGATTCTTTTTCTTGTGTGCCTTTGGTTTATCCTGACATTGGCAGTGTGACGTGCTCGTTGCAAGCTTCGACGCGACAGTGCTGCGCACAATGGGTGTCAAGCTTGTACAGGATTTATGGGCTAGTGATATCAGCGCTGAATTGGCCGTCGACGCTTCATCATTGGAAGAGCTCCTCTCTGAGTACAAAGAGCACAACCATAGCTGGATTGTCATTGCAAAACAAGATAGTAAGGAGCGAGGCTTCAAAGTGAGGTGTCTCGCTCCCAAAGAAGAACTCGACATCAGGAGCTCCGAACTTATCCCTTGGCTTCGGAACGAGAAACGTGCACGCAATCAACGCGAGGGCGGACCCGACCTGCGGCAGTCGCGATTGCCAAGTCAGTCAGATGCGATTGCTGGAGCTAGTGAAAGATCGAGCGACGTACGCATCTTGAGCTCTCAGCACCGGAGCAAGAAGACGAACAGACGAAACATCGTCGAGTCTGGTATGTCATGTCCCGAAATTCTCATCATTACGTGAACAATTATAACTAACCAGAGGTAGCTCTCCTTCGTTCTCGGGAGGTAGTTGAGAAGGCAATCAACGGGCCCATTGCGGCCATTGACACTAGAGATGACCTGCTTGAAGCAATCAGGGATACACGCCTGTCGGATCCGGAAAGCTGGCGCTCAGTCATTCAAAGTGCCCCGTTGACTGAGCGAAAGTACCTCAGCCAGGTGCACGAACTACTACTGGACCTTTCCAATGAATGTCGCGCGAACGATGGCCCGGACAGTGTCAGCAATGCCTTCATTTACAACTACCGGACGGGGTCGTGTCTGTATTATGACCTTGGACGTGGAAATGAAAAGTAAAGGGTGAATGAGTGATGAAGTACCATGTTATGTTCTATCTGTATTGAAGTTGCACTTATTAGGCGTATGCTGTCTCCTCTCATTGTTTTGATCGCGAATATACCCGCCAGATGAACGCCCGAACGATATGACTAGTATAAAATCAAGAACAAAAACAAATGAAGACAATTTGAGGTATCTTTGCTGTTGTACACAAGACCAATTGACTTTATGAGAGCCATGAAGAAATCAATCACTATCATCATCACTTCCGTAAGCCACAAGAGGACCGCCAGAATTCGCCGGGGCTTTTTGCGTCGTCACATTGCCGCCGGCCAATCCCCTTAGTGCTGCCACAGTTGAGCTTGAAAAGATACCACTGTTTTCCGATTGTGACGGAAGAGCTGCGGAAGAAGACGAGGATGCCGCTTCGATCATCAAGTGCTGCTCTGGAGCCTCGAGCTGGCCGGCCCTGCCTGCATCCTCCAACTCCTTCGTCCGAGCATACCACACATCATCCGGAGCCTCATACCCTTCCAGCCCAAAGCTGCCCTCGATCTTCTTCTTCTTCCGTGCCTCCGGATCCCGACCCTCCAGCTCCGCAACAAACTCAGCGGGCAGCGCCCTCCGTACCGCCTCGGCCGCCTGCTCCTCCAAGCGCCTCGCCTCCCGCTTCTGCGCCAACGGGTTCGGATCAACCGTCGCCCAGCGCACATTCAGAATCTCATTATGATCCAGACTCTGGTGCGCCATGGCCTCCTTGGCGAACTGCGCATTCGCTTCATTCGTATACGTGACGAACGCCACCCCGCGCGAGGTCAGCACCCGGATGCGGTCGATCTGGCCCCATTCCGCGAAATGGCGCGACACCACCTCCTCGATATCATCCGTCACATGGATCCGCCCAACATACAGCGTGCGGTTCTGGCGCGTGAACGAGCCCACACCGCCCATGTCGTCGCGGTAGTCGCTGAACTTGTCCCGGCCGAAACAGTCCACGTTGGGGTTGAAGAGGTCGTGCAGGGTTGGCAGGCGGTGGAGGTACTCGCACTCGTGGCCTTTGGGGCAGACGCCGCGCGCGAAGAACAGGCAGAAGTATGAGCCTGGGACCTTGTCTGCGCGTGTGTACCCGCTGTCCTTGGCGATGTTGCAGCGGGACGGCGCGGCATGCTTCGAGAGATACTTGTCCTCGCGGTCGCCGCCGGACCACTTGTTGTACCAGATGTTGAAGACAGTGCCTGTCTGCGGGGGCGGCTCGGATTTCAGGGTTGCAGGGTCGACCTGTGGCCGGGCGGGTCGTCGTTTTCGCCTGATTATCTTCTTTGTCTTTTTTTGTGTGCCATCGGCGTCTGTGGTGGCCGCGACGGCGGTTTCTGAGGGTTGGGTGAGAGCATTTTCGTCGCTGGGAGTGAGGCTGCTGGGCTCGGTGGATTCTGTTGGTAGAGGTGTTGGCTCTGTGGCATGTGGAGGGTCAACGACGGCTGTGTCCGCCATGATTGCGTATTCTAATAGTGGTGGTTGAGTTTGTCAGTTGATCGTTGAGCAAAGAAGTCTGCGATGCCTTCAGGCGAAATCACGAGGCGATGTTGAGATTATGTAAGCGGCTGGTCTTGGCGCCTTTTTTGCTGCGACGATTTTGATATGCTTTGCCAGACGGCTTTTCTAAAGCTGTATTCGAGACATTCTATTTCATTGTGGAGATTCTCTCATTTTCTTGTCTAACATACCTACTATTGCACCGGCAAGGCCTCTTGGAGCGGTCTTCTTTCTTTACCAAGTACATACGAATCGAAGCATAAGAGGGGTCCTGGGACTCCCCCACCGTCAAGATGGTGAACATTACAGAGAAAATCAAAGAGTACGTTTTGCGCCGTATATTCTCACAAGACCAGGCAACTCATGTAGCAACCATGCAGGATCGAGGAGGAGATGCGCAGGACGCAGAGTAAGTCATCCTTGTCTCTATCCAGAGAACCCCGCAGCTAACTTTGAGACTAGAAAACAAGGCTACAGGTGGGACTCCAATGCATACATAGTCGAGTCCATGTTCTGACTAGATCCAGAATACCATCTTGGTCTGCTTAAAGGGTGAGTCTTACCCTTCCTGCGAGGTTCGTGCTTGCACACACTGACCCGCGTGCAGAAAACTCGCCAGATTAAGAGCACAGCTGCTGGAGCCCACCGGCGGCGCCGGCGGTGGCGGTGCAGGGTTCGACGTGAGCAAGAGCGGCGATGCCCGAGTTGCTCTTGTTGGTTTCCCGTCTGTCGGTAAATCCACCTTCCTGTCCAAGATCACCAAGACCAGGAGCGAGGCTGCCGCGTACTCGTTCACGACGCTCACGGCCATCCCCGGTGTGCTGGAGTACGGCGGTGCTGAAATCCAGATTCTCGATCTGCCGGGTATCATTGAAGGCGCCGCTGAGGGTAAGGGACGAGGACGGCAGGTCATCTCGGCTGCGAAGGTGTGTACACTGCACTGTTTCAGGAATGATCTTCTGACCATGTGCAGACGAGTGACCTAATCCTCATGGTTCTGGACGCCACAAAACGCGCCGAACAGCGGGCTCTGCTGGAAGCAGAATTAGACGCCGTTGGGATCCGTCTCAACAAGGAGCCTCCGTAAGGACGCAAGCAACCACCCCCCTTCACATTCCATACTGACTTCAACAGCAACATCTACCTCAAAGCCAAAAAGGCCGGTGGCATGAAAATCACCTTCCAGACGCCCCCCAAGAACCTCGACGAGAAGATGATCTTCAATGTCTTGAGAGACTACAAGATCCTCAACTGCGAGGTCCTAGTGCGCGACGAGAACGGTACGCCATGTCAACACCCGCTTTAGCCTATACTGCAGCCTCAATACTGACAGACCGCCTCAGCAACAATCGACGACTTCATCGACGTCATCATGAAAGACCACAGAAAATACATCAGATGGTAGCCATCCCTCCCTTGCACTCCACTCATCCATGCTAATACTAACTTACTAAAGTCTCTACGTCTACAACAAAATCGACAGCGTCAGCCTCGACTTCCTCGACAAGCTCGCCCGCGAACCCCACACAGCGGTTATGAGCTGCGAACTCGATCTAGGCGTGCAAGACGTCGTCGAACGCATCTGGACGGAACTGCGTTTGATCAGAGTATACACGAAACGGTACTTCCACCCCCAAGCCCTTTTACAGAATTCCCCTCGGGTATTGACAGCCTACAGGAAAGGAGAAGACCCCGACTTCTCAGAGGCGCTGATCGTGCGCAGCAACTCGACTATCGAGGATGTGTGTGACTCCATCCATCGGACGCTGAAGGAGACGTTCAAGTATGCGTTGGTCTGGGGGGCGAGTGCGAGACATATCCCGCAGCGGGTGGGACTGGGCCATGTTGTTGCGGATGAGGATGTGGTTTCAATAGTGGCCAAGTAGGCTGGACATAGTATGCTAGGATATTATGAATGAACGAATCCGAGATTGAATAGTTATCAAGTTCTACTCCGTAGACTAATACGACATTTCAACATACATCAGTGCTTACGTAACTGACGAGGTTATGCTGTTGGTTGTGACTTCTGGGTGTTAAGGTTGACATACACCAGTACGACGATGGCAGTGAGGAAGCCAACCCCGATGTCTCGGTTGCAGATGTAATCCTTACAATCTGCTGCCTACAGCAATCTACACAGCGATGATATGAGCAAAATTCATAATTGCAATTGATAACCTAATGACAAGAATGATTCCAATATATATCCAGCCCGTAACCAACCATGACTCCAGAACACAAGAACAGATCCGGCAATTCAATTAAGCGGCAGCGGCAGCGGCAGCGGCAGTGGCGGCAGCAGCAATGTTCTGCATGCCGATAGTGGGCTGCACACCGACACGCTCCTTGGCGAGCAGATCAACCAACAGCGGGCTGGGGAGGCTGTCCCGCTGAGGGTGGAACGCGGCCTGGCTAGCCTTGTACTTCTTCACACTGTCGATGTAGATATCGAAGAGGTAAGAGGAGTCCAGAGGGCCTCCCTTGGCCTCGGGGTGGAATTGTGTGCTGAAGATGGGGCGAGACTTGTGGATCATACCCTCGTTGCTGGAGTCGTTCAGGTTGACAAAGTAGGGCTTCCAGTCAGAGGGCAGGGTAGACGCATCTACAGCGTAACCGTGATTCTGACTGGTGATGTGGCAGCGGCCAGTGCTCAGATCCAGAGCGGGGATGTTGTGAGCACGGTTACCATACTTGAGCTTGATGGTGCGAGCACCAGCGGCCAGGGCAAGCAGCTGGTGGCCCAGGCAAATACCGAAAATGGGCAGCTGGGAGGTCTCCATCAAGCGACGAAGGTGGTAGGTGGTCTCCTGGCAGTGAGTTGGGTCACCGGGGCCGTTGGAGATGAAGACACCGTCGAAGTGGTGGGCCACCTTGTGGATGGGATAGTCGAAGGGGAACACGGTGATGCTGGCGCCACGGCTGACCAGACTACGCAAGATGTTCTCCTTGACACCACAGTCGATGACAGCGACGTGGCACTGAGGATCGGCAGCGCTCACGTGGAAAGGAGCCTTGGTGCTGACCTGGCGGACGAGGTGGATCTGCTCAGGATCGGTGAAAGCCTCATCTTGGTCGGCGTCGTACTCCTCGCCAACGGTGATACGAGCGAGGGAAGAACCCTGCTCACGCAAATAGGTGACGATAGCACGGGTATCGACACCAGAGATGGCAGGAACGCCTTCACGAGCACACCACTCGCCGAGAGACTCGACGGCGGTCCAGTGGCTGTACTGCTCAGCCACGTCGGCCACAACCACACCAGCAGCCTGGAGGTTGGGGGACTCGAAATACTTGAGAAGACCGTGCTGGTCGCGCTCAGCAGAAGGCACGCCGTAGTTGCCAATCAAGGGCTGAGTGAAGACCAGGATCTGACCACGGTAGGAAGGATCGGTCAGAGACTCGGGATATCCAACCAGAGAGGTGGTGAAGACGGCTTCACCGGAGATGTTGGTGCGAGCTCCGAAGGACTTGCCGTGGAAGATCGGACCATCTCGGATCGTGAAAGTGGCACGCTCGTGAGCAGTACGCTGCTGACGAACGGTGGCCATGAAGCGAGCCTGAATGGAAGCATTCACGGAAGTGAAGGCTGAAGCCCTAGCGGGCATAGCCTTGAAAACACGGGCAAACATTATTTGTTGATGGAGACGAAGAATTGTGGAAGCGTGTAGTGATGCGGGTGGTCTCAATAGTTTCCGGAAGCTTTCCAGAGGTGATCCGAGATGTAGTCCTGAAGGTCGTCACGTTAGCAATGTTTTTTATATTGGTGTGGATATATGGTGGTGGCGGGTATGACATCTATGTGGCCATGGGCAAGACATACCTGAGAAGTGAAGACGGTGGGTGCCAAAACCATAAGCGCGACTGTGCTGTTACCAGTCACTGAAATATCTGTTGATGGGTGTGATGTCTAAAAAGACATGAATCGATCAGAGAACGAGAAAGTGTTGGTGTGGGGTGTTGATGGATGATGTCTTAGGACTGACAGAGGATGGAGAGAAGAGGAGAAAGGAAGAAAGAAAGGAAAAGCGGGCGAAGAGTCAGAATTTGAGGGTTGCAACAGGAGCTGCCCGGACCAGTGCGATCTTCGGCCCGGGTTGGGCGGCACGTGCCCCGCTACACCGACCATCAGGGCCCAAAAGAGGTGATCAGCCAATCACAGACGCTGCATTTCGAGTTCCGGGATCGGAGACATTTTTCCGCTTCCTTGTTTTGTCTGTAGGTAACTCATCATTACGCTATGGATTGGGCAATTCTGCAGCAATTGATAATGCGATTATCTCTTTGATTGTGATCTCTAAATACTTGCAGTATCGTAAGAGGATAGGAGTCAGGACACTGCTCATCAGAGGTTGCTGTACTCAGGCATCTCCATCCCTCTATCACACGGCTGTCATCATCGATGGCTTATCTAGGGGTATGACTCACCGGATCTGCCGAGTCCCAATTCTCAACAGCAATGGGTTGTGGTTTAGTCTTTGACAGCAAGACGACCGATTGGCTGCATCAAAAAGGCAATTCCTCTATGATTCCTCCTACCTTCTCCGAAATACACTATGTCTAGTCTGATTATTATGGTAGAGCGAATTGATCGCTCTGTTATCTTATCATTTGACGTCAGTGTGTGAACAGATTATCTGAACAACGTGCATACTAGTAGAAAGAGAGGGAAGAACTGTCAACTTATCAGACCTACTAGCAACCCCTTTTACAACGGGTACTTATGTTTCTGTGAAACCGTATCACCTGAGTAGGGAATACAAAAGCCACCACCCTGACCTTTCCCTCATGAGAATTTCGAATCGGCGACTTCCAGGGAGTGCGAGGTTCACGCTACGCCACCTCAAGCATCACTGTAGGTGTACAATGTAGTACTTGGTCGCACAGCTTCCATCAATCGGGGAATTTCATCGTCGAGACCTCCAGGCAAGACAAAAAGCCCTCACTATATATCGAACACAAGGTTCTGCTCATAATGTGGTTCTCCATCGAGCAGAGTCTCCCTAGTAATCAATGGTTTGTTTCAATTATCTTCTTCAGGCCCTGGTAGTCATCACCCTTCCAGCATGGACCCTTGGCTGGGGTATCCTACCATTTCAATCCTATCAACACCAGCAACAGCCAGTCCCACAATCCCAGACTCCCCTAGAAGGTCCCGGGTGCGATGGTTCTGGCATTGTCGACCCCGGTGGCCGATGTAATGGCGACGGGCTGGTCGACAGTCCCCCAGACCACCGCGACAGAGAGGGATTCAAATTCGAGAATCCGTCGACAGACTGCAAATACGTCTCGCAGATGCACATCTGGGACTCGTTCAAAGACCTGGAGAAGGATATGAACAAGCTCTTCACCCTCATCCACAAGAACGTGAGTTTCACCGTGGTCGGACACCATCCCATCGCGGGTCACTACAACGATCTGCTGCATTTCTATGTCAATGCGCTGCGGCGAGTCAGTGTGCTGTTCCTCGACCATGCGGACAAATTCGAGATCCACCCGCAAGCGATCCATGGAGGCTGTAATGAGCGATGGTCCGTCCAGGAGGTCAATTTCAGGGGGGTAATGAATTCAGGTGAATCCACAGCTGTCATTATTCAGTGAGCAGTGCTGACATGAGACAACGTGCAGGAGATGACTTTGACATTGTCAACGTCTGGGTAACTCGATGGGATCGGGGGCAGATGGTGGAAATCCGCACATATATCGACTCTGCCCGGATCATGGAGGCACTGCACAAGAACGAGATCTGGTGGAATGGAACCACCTTTCGAGACAATATCCACTACATGCCTGGTCCTGCAGGCATGCCTGACCTGAAGAAGCTAGAGGATCTCATGGGATATCCAGACGGACGGAAGTATGAAGATTGAGATAATTGGTTTATCAGTGTTAGCGCAATATCGACTGAAATCATAGCTCTGCACCTTTGTTAGTTAGGCATTTATACTCTATAATTTTTTAAAGCGAACTGAGAATCCGTGGTGAGTTATGGTTGAGCTTTGGTTGCACCGAGAGAAAAACAAACCAGTTGGCCCCTCCGAAGCGTGATTCCCAGTCCACTCCACATGAACATAACCAAAACACTAATCTACCCGTGGACCGCATCTGGAGTACCCCGTACAACGTCCCCACAACTAAGGGAGAATCTTCTACCGCACATTGTTTATCAACAAATGCTGACGTGAAATGCTCTGGACACCATGACTGAGCCAGGACCGCGAAAGCGCTCCAGAATCGCCTGCACATCATGTCAGTCGCGCAAACGGAAGTGCTCCGGTGACCAACCATGTAGCACCTGTGTACAGTTGGGGGCAGCCTCCGAGTGTCATTACGACATCCAATCTCGCAAGAAAAAAGATGTCAAGTCATTTCGGCCATCAGTAGGTCTATCGATGCGTAGACCTAGTGTCATCGACGAGTCACCCCGGCCAAAGAGCCAGGAGCAGTCGACTCCGGGCGACTCGACGAGCATCGACGTCAGTTCTCTCGAGGCCAATTCGGGCGCTGCGTTTGTGCGCAGATTAGGTCTGAAGCTGGATCCAGCCAATGCACCGAGATTGCATCTTTTCGCCTGGAACGTCGGGGCTCGTCACCCGCCACCATCGTCCATGCCGACGTCGACCTCGGTCACTGCTGTGCCTATCGTGGACATCATCTCCCAAGACGAGATGCGATCACTGATGACATTCTACTTTGAAAAAGTCGATCCGTGCTACCCATTCCTTGACCGAGATGTTGTGCTCCGTCAGGTCAGCAGACGATGGTTGCCTTCCTCATCCGAGTCAGCCCTGCCATACGGCCCCTACGATGCGGTACTCTGCGGCATAGCGGCGCTCGGATTTCTCTTCTCCCGGAGACGAGCCGTTCCCGCCGAGTACCGAGTGGCTGAAACTGCTCGACGCATCCTTGAACATAGTCTGCTCGTCGACAGCCCCGCATCGGTCGACATCGTCACCGGCTGGGTGCTCCGAGTCGCGTACCTCCGCATGACAGCATCCCCCCACGTCGCCTGGATGGCCAGCTGCACGCTGATGCACCTCATTGAGGCATCGGGTCTCCATCTCGAGCCCTTACCAGATACCTCTCTCGGGCAGACAACAACACCCTGCGCCCCAGAAATCCGCCGCCGACTCTTCGGCATGGCCCGCCACCTGAACGTGTGGATCTCCTTCGAACTCGGCCGGTCCCGAGTCGTCCTGCACGGCGCAACCTCCCTCCCACCCGCGCCCCGATCCCCAAACAGCCCCTCGGAGATCTTCAACCTCCTCCCCGTCTCGGAAAGCCTCGACCCCAAGCAAACCCAAGACGCGTCCGGCCTAGAATCCGCCCTCGCCGCCGTCCTCGAGGTCGTCCACGTCCAGCCACCCCTAATCCTCGCCCAGTGCAACCTCATGCTTTGCCTGTATCGGCGCCTCCGCGCCCTCAACTCCAGCATCTCCGGCGACCTGCTCGACCGCGTCCTTGCCCTGGCCGGCACCGGCCTCCGCGCCGCCCGCGAAATGGTCGCCTCCGTCTGCCCCTGGCACCAGATCGCCAACGTCCCCTTCCAGATCGTCTGCACCTTGCTTGCGATTGACAGCCGCGCCTCGCTCGCCCTCCTCAGCGAAGCCATGCGCACCCTCCGCGAGGTCGCCGCCGCCTATGACACGGAGGTCATGCGCGAAGCCTACAGCACAGCCTACCTGCTCATTCTACTGCACCAGCGCCGCAAGGAAGAAGACACACGGGCGCTCCATGATGTTCTGAGGGCTAACGCCAATGCGGCCGCCGCGGCGCCGAGGGTTAGCGTCGATGCTGCTGCGGGGGGAGGGTCTGGCTCTTTGCAGCGCCCAACGCAGCCGCCACCGCAGTCACAGTCTGTGGCCGACCGCTCGGAGATGTCCTGGCTGGGCGATCTGATGATTGACATGCCTAGTCTGCAGAATTTCGATCTGGATCAGTTTCTGATGACGGATGTGCCGTGGCCGTTGCCGGAGATGGGAATTTGAGTTGCAGTACTTTTGATTGTGGTGGATATTGTTTGAGGCAGATTGATACCCTTGGTTTTTGGCTTACATTACTAGCAGTCCTGGTTTAGGATTCAGTCCTTCAATGATATATACATGGCACCCATTTGGTATTGGAATGATTTGCGCTACTCGGCCTTACCCTGCTTATCTTTTCTCTTTTGGGTCTGTGTCCTCGTCCCTGTGCCTGCCATCCACGCGACGAGACCAAGTTTCCACAGAATCCACAGCAGCCCCAGCCCAACGACAACCACCGTCCCCAGCTCGATAGTCCTGCTCCGGAAGAACCCCCCATCCTCTCGCAGCCGTAGAACAGGGACTTCCAGCTCTTCCACAAGCTGGTCCTTGCCCTCCGCCGGCGCCGGGTGTAACTGGTAGAACATCGTCCGGGGACCGAACAAGCCCTCCCAGCCGAGATTCACCCGATCAAACGGGTTGACACCCATCTTGGTGCCGTCTTCTGCCGTGCACGCCCAGAAGACGATCGGCCATGGGAGCGCAGCAGAGCGGTACCCTGACTCCGAAGGGGCCAGGTATCGCAGGTGCAGGGGGATCGTGGCATTCCACTCCTCTGGGCTGGTATCCGTGTGAAGGGGGGTAGCGAGCTCGAGCAGCCAGTTTGAGCCCCAGCGGGAGACGAACCAGTCTGGGGCTTCGAGGTCTGTTTCTCCTGCTACGGCGCGGAGAGCGGCCAGGTTGTGGGAGCTGAGGAAGAGGGGGTCTGTTGTTGAGAGCTGGTATTTGTCGCCGAAGATCCACGATGGCAGTGTCAGGTATGTGTGGAGGGCGCATGTCGCGTCTGTAGGTGCGGGGGGCCGCTTCAGCGACGCGCGGGGCATTGAGATGGTTAGAGTGGGATGGAGCCCGGTTGGGGCAGGGAAGGAGATGGTGTAGGTGGCATCAGCTGGGAGAGGGTGGTGACGCGAGGGAAATGAGAATAAGGTCGGTTCTGAAACGTGTCAGCATTGTCCTAACTCTGTCTGTTCTCCTGTCACGTACTCAACTTTTCGTCCTGTCCGACAACACCCAGAAGACCGCCCATTTTCAATTCCTCGGGCTCAATGGCGCTCTCGACACCCAGCAGCCCGACCTCGACCTGGTGCGTATCTGCGGTATGCTTCTTGATTTGCTCGGTCCATCCTTGGCCTGGAGATTTCGACCAGTACCCAGACACGGTTAGCGCATGCGAGATACTGTCGTAGTTGACGTCGACCGAGTCGGCAGAAAGTATTGATTCCGCATGATGAAAGCATTTCTCGTCCGACCGGTCACAGAACTTGTGTTGAATGAAGGCGACCAGATTCTGCAGAGAGGGAAGACGACTGTAGTACTGGAAAGCGGCGGTGGTAGCGAATCGTTCCGAGAGGATAGGAGGCTGTATAAAGGAGGACTGCGGACATTAGTGTTAGAGTGCATCTCGCGATTCAGTGACCGACGAACTGAACTCACCCTGAGACTGTCACATTCTAGCGACTCATCAAACACCTTTCTCAATAGCGAGCACAATCCCTTCCTAACCTGGAATTAACCACTCTGCGAGAGAATACGCCTCGTAGATACGCACCCTGTCTCCCCCGATGTCCCGGGGGTATAGTAAACATGCAAACCAGGCGATATCCGACTGGAGAAGGGCGCTCCATTCTCATAAGGCCGCTCCGTAGCCCACCGGATGTGAAGCTCGTGACTTGATTTCAGGACCTGCCAGATCTATTCATATAAGCGAACGTTAGTCTAGCTCACTGCTACCTGTAGAGTCACCACTTACCTCTGGGGGAAGCTCATCAAAGCCGAATGTTGCTCGCTCCTCGCGCGCCCCGTCGAGGTGGGCAATGGACAGCGCATCACTCGTTAACACAGCCTGGTCGACGTGAAAGGGGGATTCTGGTCTCTGAACAAATGTTATTCTTCGCCGCATTTTTAATCAAGGGCTGAAGCTGGTAAGGTGGATGGTTGAGTGGGAGAATGAGCTGTTGTCCTTGTTCTCCGCAGATAACAACTCCGGTTAGCGTGTCTCCTGGGGCCGATAAGATAAGAGCTCCTGTCTTTTCCTCTGATAACGTTCTCTCTTCTTGTAAGGCCCATAAGTGTGTCTTCTCTGCCTACACTTGTTACTCCTCTAAAATACTGCACTCGGAGTCAAGAGTTCCCAGACTCAGATGACTCTGCCACCTATAGCAGAAAAGCCCTACGGAGAGAGAAGATGTAAGTAATAGAATTTCTGTGATCAGTTCTCCAGTACAGAGTTAGCTACAGCTCTTTTACGCCCAGTGCAACTTGTCCATCCGTTGATAGTAGCTGGCGTCTGTCTCTCCATCTTCTTTTGGGTTGTCGACAGCCTTCGAGCAAAGTGGCCGGCATATGCCAATGGCATTAGTCAGCGGTTGGTCACACTCATTGTCAACTCTATACTGGTGGCAGACCCGACAGTTGCCATTTGACTGCCGTATGCAGTCCTGGTTGGAGTAACAGCCAAAATCATAGCAGAACATATGATCACGCGTCGTCAGTATATTGTCCAAATCGTAGGTCACCAACCAATCACCGGCGGGCTCGTGCTCAGGCAGTTTGAGCTCCGGGTTGCGCCTGTTCATTCCCTTTGCGAACAGCACCCTGGCATAGGGGGGATCAAACACGAATGTTGTTTCGCCGGTCACAGAGTTTTTTATTTCCGCCGTAGCCGAAATCTCGTCAATGGCGATGTACTCCTCCGGGTTCGGCACAGTTGCCTTCTCAATTTGTTGCTTCACGTGCTTTGCAGTCTCAGGGTCAAATCGGGTGTCGATGAAGTATAACTTGTCCGGGCCGGCCGCTGCCACGTATGGAGTATCCGGCGCCACCACCTGGAGGCCATATCCTGTTTCGATAACCTCTGGTACGTAGCTGCCCCGATATTCCTCTTGGAAGATTGGCGAGCCCTCGCATGGTCGGAATGGGTTCAGAAGCATGGAGATTAATAGTAGAAAGAGCATTATGGTATAGGGACAAGTTGACTATGTAATCTCGTCATATCTTTGTGTGCACTTCTACGTATGTTGCTTCCCTTAAATAACTGTTGAGGAGTTAGTGGTCTGTGACATATGATAGAGAATTACTGGCGGCTTAGCGCGTGTTAAACGTTGATATCAAGTTGACATTCGAAATAATGAGCAGCTATTGGCCCAACACACAGACTCCATGATCGAGTCAGGGATCTAGGGCGGGGCGCCGCTGGTGTTCCGTGTATTTTCCGTAGTAGATGGTCTGATGTGACTATTTTAATAGAGATTGCTTAGCTTAGGCTATAAGACTTAAGATGAATAGAAGGATAAGGTATTATATAGTTATTGCTTTATGATATAGATAGAAAGGTCAAGGTTAAAGTATAGATAAGATAATCGAGGAGGAGAGAAATACTTAATCTTATATAGGTAGAATTAGCAGCAGTGCACACTTGAAATCTAAAATATGGTATTTTGGTTCTGTTCTAATAGCTTGCCGTACCCAGCACCTAGAAATAAAAAGAACCTGCTTAGTCCTAAGCTCATCAGCATCACTACGACTGCCAGTCCTTGAAGGTGTATTGAAGGTAGGTTTGGAGCGGCGGTTGCTACTCATGTTAACTTAAGGAATAAGATAGAGTACGATCAGTAGACTCCACTAAAGTATTATGACGAGCTAAAATCTTGTCATATATGTGATGTAGGGTCGAATAGATTCACGCGCTATCCTGCCCTATATAGATACTGGTTTTTATACTATGATGAAAAGCAATCACTGGATATCCACCTTCACATACTCCCCTTCAACTTCGTCTTCCACCTCATGTTCTTCGTCTTTTCCCTCAACATTAAGTTCACTACTTGCACCCTCCTTCTCCATCTCCTCCATCTCGTCGGTTTGTTCAACTTCCCCCTCAACCCTAGGAAGTGCAACCCTCAGAACCCCGTCAACCAGTCGAGCCTGGATCGCCTCAACGGCAACGTTGTGGGAGATCGGCAGCTCCCTTTGAAACACTCCCAAATGGCGCCCTCTCTCCCCAACCAGCAAAGCCCTATACATCTCCTCATCAACTCCGGGACGGTGTACAACCCCAGCCATGCGCAGCATGGAACGCGATGCATCATATGCAACGCTCAAATCCGATCTTTGAGCTCCCGGAAGTGACGCATGGATGATCGTTTGGGTAGGTGTGACAAAGATGTCGACCGGGGGCGTGAAACTGGTCGGGTCGTGCGAGTGGTGAAAAGAGCGGAAGCGGGGATGCATATGGTGGAGGTTGTAAAAATGATGGCCGAAGCCTCTGCCACCTCTACCTAGACCTCGTCCCCGTCCTGGTCCCCCTCGTCCTAGTCCATGGAACATTCCCCAGGGGTGACCTCGTCTGTGGTGAGAGTGGTGGTGGTGATGTCCGAATCCCGGACCTTCATGTTCAGTCCATCGGCTGAATCCATTCTCCTCATCATGCTCGTATTCATGAGGATATGAATGATGTCCTGGTCCAAGATGGCGATGAAGAAAACCGCGACGGCCGCGGCCACAGGAACGACCGAATCCGAACTCTGGCTTTTCGGGATGTTCATCTTCCATACCCTGTTTGGCTCTTTCTTTGTGCGCCTTTTTCTCGCATTTTGAGGGCTCCCCGGAGCTACTTTCGAAGCTGTCATAGTATGGAGGGGGATGAGGGTGAGCAAAGAAAGGATGTTCTTCTAGCATGGAGATATCCCAGGCTAGGGGGTGCTGACTGAAATGGCATGAATGTTGCATATTGATTGGATACTGTATGATCATATGAACTTGACCTGGTCTGTAAAAGACTGCACGGGTGAAATGCTACGGATTGACTGCGATATATATACCCGTCCAAGCACCTACAATGAACATCATGACTCACCTTGTCCTACATACACGTACACCTTGTGACCTTGCCTTGCCACCCAGGCAGACAAATACTCGTCAGACTCGCGGCGAAGATGTGGTGATACTAATAGGCAGAAGAGGCTACGCATACCTTCATTGCCATAAACGGAAATCAAATCCGGGGGGGCAAAACCCCGGACTCGGTCTCGGCATTTTGGTATCCTCCGACTGGCACATTTCTCGGGGTTTTCCTCGGAGTCGGACTCGGAGATCGGATATAATTTTTCTATGTCTTGAGTTGTTCATAAGACATCTGTGGTATGCAACTGCAGAGAGTTACACCTAAGCGCAAAACTAGCTTCCCTGTTTCATACCCACCTTTAATTCAGTCCATTGCCAAGATGCTAGCCCGGAAATTGAGTGCGCGTCAGTGGGAGCCTCCGGCAGGCAGCATACAAGCGTAAAAGCTTGGCGAGCAGGTCCACCAAGTATCTAAGCCTTAAAGGCTATCATTTCCTACTGGACCACGAATGACTAAGATTGTTTATACGTAGGAGTACGGAATGGTGAGAGCTTTGGGGATATCATGTTTCCCCCCCCCCCACCCAAGATGGGCCTTACTCAGCGAGCTAGAGGAAGCATGTAGCATGTTCTAATGAAGAAAGAAGTCCATATAAATTCTGTGCCTTGAGAGGAACGGAAACCTTAGATGGGCCTTATCAATAACAAATACGACGTGCAAGGGGGAAAGGAGATAATCTATGGACCCGAAAGGTCTGTTGGCTCTAATAGATAAATAGATGGCTTTGTAAGGCACGTTGCACCGATCAGCCCTAGAGTTGGGTAGAAGCGTGTGACATACCTCTCCCGGGCCTTCCTTCTGCAGAGAAATTAGAAAATCGGGGAAGGAAAAAAGCAGAAATCATCTAGTGCTACCCGAGCTTTGAAGATCTAAGACTGATTAGGAGTTGAGGCCTGGTGGTCAACAAGATCCAAAAGCGAACTCATCTCAATTTTTTTGTAGAAGAGGCAGTAGTTGAATATTGTTGGGTACATTCTTCTAAAGCGCCGATCACCCTCGCAGAGATTAAGGTTAGCAGCTAGGTCGGTCAAGACTGAGCAGCAGTTGAATAATTCCTCAAACAGCTCCCTGAGTAATTTTGACATAATTTCAAGGGCTTGATCGGGTGCCTCTTGCACGACAGTCCTTAGATTAGAGTTCCACAGCATTAGTTATCTTAATAATATCAGGGAAAGTCTTCGCAGTTGACTAAGAGCTAAAGTCAGCAGTCTATACCAGAACCAAACATACCATCAAACTGAGAATGACGTCGTTTTCGGCACTGAAGTTGGAATATAGCCCGTTTTCTTGTGGTGAGGGGTTCCCCATGTAGTTCTGTGCATTCAAGCTGCCCATTCAACGACATGTATACCAAGGCTTGATCCATATATGCATATCGAGACCCCTCCCAGATCATGCAAACTGGATTCGAATGTCTGACCAAACACCCAGTGTCGTCGCGAGCATGGCACACTATTTGGTTCAACGGATCAGGAAAGAGTACTTCCTCGATTTGTGGCGGAGAACCGGGGTGAAGCGAGAACAGGCAGTTGCTCCGAGTCCATGGCTTGAAGGGAAGACGATCCGTGACAGATGGGGCCACGATTTGTGATAAAATCCAGTTGGTACAGCCGCTTTCCCCAGTCTGTCTCTGGAGCGACATCAGTCTCCCATCTCGGTCTTGAAAACCAATCGCCAGATGATTATTGACAGGCCCCAAGCCAAGCGGCCCTGTGTAACTCTCCCAGCTTCTGACTGTCAAAGCTGTTCCTGGTAGGAATTGAGGTCCCTGCCGTGATTCAGGCACTCTGTGCCTTTATCTGGATTGACAAGACACAGATTCCCCTTCGAGTCTTCGAAGCAAACGGTAAGTCCATCCGCAGAACTGGCGAGGTTTGAGTGGGAGGCGACTTGAACTTGATGGTCAATGAGAGACCCACAATCCCAGGCACCAGTCCTTCCCTCCAAGAATTTGTCTGCCAGGAACCCGTCCTCGGTGACATATATTGCTAAGTCCGCTATGTAGGTCCTTCGGGATATAAGGAGAGGGGTGTTGAGACGTGCACGGGCAATTGTGTCTACAAAGAGAACATCTATGATCGGTCGATCCTCCGATGTGTTAATAAAGCCATATTTGATACATCCTGCCTCATCCTGAAACGCAACCACACGCCAATCCTTCTCGCCGTGGATTGTTAGCCGGCTAGTGATCGCAAACGATGATAGGCCAATATGTGAATCATCAGGTAGGACCAGGCGAGGCACGCTCGGGACCACGGGTCTTAGTAGTTTTCTAAATTTCTCTGGGACCCATTCAAAGCCACTGAATCTCCCCAACGCGATTGGGAGTGATACGATGTGCCTCCTCTGTCCTGAATTACTAGTCTGTCTGCCTTACCATAATTACCGCAAACGTACCTCAATGACCTTCCATCTGGATTTATCCTCTTTCATGGAAAGCATCCACGCTCTGGGCCTAAGTTCATGAAGGTAGGCAATTAGACCTTATTCTTAAATGCCTGTAACTGAGCTGGTTAGAAGACTTACTCCCCGTGTAGACCTGGGTCACCCCCAATACCGCACCAAAACATGCCCTCAGATACAGAGCTAATCTTAGAGTTGTCCGTGTGAAGTGTTTGGGTCCCGGACGTAGTTGAAACCCCCTTAGACAATGGATCTTTGGAGGACAAAGATGCCTTGGCCGCAATTTTTAAACTGTTTTCTCTCTGTTCTAGAGCGTTGGCTTTCAACATGCTGACGTTTTCACTGTGGAAAAGCCGGCCACCAATAGTGGCCTGCATTGCAAATCCCTCGCCTGAAGAGGTTAATTTTTCATCTAGGGGCCATGAAGCTTTTTGGCGTACCGTAGTCTTCTAAAAAGGCTATAGCTTGTCTCTTGTCATCACATCCCTTGAGATATGTAAGCCGAGCCTTGCAGTCTTCAGTTATCGCCAGGGACCTTTGATCCAAGAAAAGAATAAATTTTGGATGCTGCCGAGTGATAATGTTAGAGTCGCTGGCTGTGAACTCAATATGCGCTATACTCACCCGGTGCGAGATTTCTATCTTCTGCGTCTTGGACGACTGCTCAAGTTGATTAAAAGATGCGTGTCGAGCCCGAAAGTCTAGCCTACTGTCTGCGGCAATGGTCTTCCTATACATCGTCAGAGGCAATTCCATCGAGGGTGATGTAGAGGCTCTACATGAAAACCTCGAGCTCCTGTTGAGAGATGCCGATATGAATACCCTGACTTTCGCTCTCGTTCTCAATCCTTATAGTTTGAATCTCGGTCTTCTCGTCCTGGACGTGTTGGGGTCCCTCCTTGGGGTCGTAGTCGAATTCGAAAGCTGAAGAATTAAACTGGCATTAGAAGGTGCCCCCCGGACTGTAACTGGTGAAGGACGGACCTGTATATTGAGCCATCTCTGGAACAGCCCCCTGTCGCGAGATGACAATCCCCTTCAAACAAGAGGTGTTGTTCTTTAAGAGGGCTGTCCATTCTTCCTCTGTAGCTGGTACAGCCGTGTGGGCCGCCGCATCTCGATAGCTAGAAGGATCCCTAAGCCCAAAGCCTTCAGCACGAGCGGCCAGCTGATGAGAGATAGAGTCGTTCATTATGGTGTGAGTATTGAAGGGCAAACTCAGTAAGATGACGGGAAGAGAATGTAGCTCCTTCAGGGTGCCCCGCTGATAGCTAAGCGCCCAGCTTCTTCCCCTTGGGCAACCCCGCTTCGACTCACATGTCCATCAAGTCGGCTTACAGTAGCGAGTGCTCTGAGATAGTTACGATGAAGCTAGATTCCTAATCTCAATATCGTACTGTATCAGCGACAGGTAGTTGCATATTCGACTAAAGCTCTTATGTCCATCAAGGCCTGCCTAGACAAACCAAATACATAGCATGTGCTCCACAGCCATAGTGGATTCCACAATTATCTAGAAAAGAGAGGTGACCGGGGAGGTCAACGACTGATATTTTCGTGATTGTGCTACCCAGGGCACTACTACCTGTAGCAAACCCGACTCATCAGGCTATAGGCATAAGTATAATGGCTGGAAATGTACCACTTCTATCTACCCCGCTCATCTGCCGAGTGACCATGCTAACACCCTCAAATAGCAAATTGACCGCACCTTTGTTGTTCGCCGAGCTCTAGATGGAATGTTATTCGGGCGAGATATTCTTGCACATTCGGGACTGCTTCTCCTTACCCGCGATGGCAGGTACTTTCTTATTGAAAGACTAGTTGGCAATGAGGCTGTTGGTATGGTTTACTATTATCTATTGATGACCTTCTCTAAGTATAAATGGGACTTACGGTGAAGTCTCTTGGTGCTCTTGCTGGCAATGTTCCCGAAGCTGACCCGCGCAAATCAACAATAGGCTTCCAAGAAGTCGAAGTACTTGTCGACGAAGTTCTTGACAACCACCAAGTAATAGCTATGGCCGGTATAAAATGGACAAAGCAGCTTCGTGGAGAATCTGTCGGTAGAGTCTGCACTGTTGATGAAGCGCGTACCTTCTTGGAGGTGTATACGCGAGAGACCAAGTATGATTCACGCAATGATAACTGCCATTCGGCACAAGAGCAACTCAGGAGATGGCTTGGACAGCCTATCCCGGAGGACCGGCCGCTCACGAGATTTACTAAGAGTCTCGCGTCTTGGATTCCGGCTTCTATTGCAAACAGTCACTTTCCTCATTGAGCTTGTTTCGGCACCTGTAGGTTTCGATGGGTTGGGATTGAGAAAGTGGTCTGATTTTCCAATTGCGTGTTTGCTTCGCGTACGTACACAGCCAGCATCAACTACCGCCAAAGTGACTGGGGGAGTCTACAGTATGGTCCCGTAAATAGCTGTATATTGGGCATTAGGCAATTGACTGGAAAGGGCCCTGCCTAAAGAAGGAGGCTAAAGCGAAATGCCAAGTGATCGACGTAAACTAAATAAATATGAGTAGGATAGAATAGTCACCAGAGTTTGCGCCACTCTATGCAGTCGCCGATAACTTGGACAGTGCCGCAGCCTAGCATAAACACCCAATTAGATGTACGCATCTATCAAGCTAGCGTCTTGGAAGTAGGGCCCTGAACTACGAGGAGAGTATGAAACTGTGAACCTGGTTTTACACTTGGCTGTAAGCGATGAGAATTCCATCAATGAACATTTGTCAAGGTCAGGAGTAGCAGGTTTGCATATGCAAGACAAGGGGCGTTTTGATATTAACGATCTATATCAACATATATATACAGGTCAAGAACAGACTGTCGGCGACCAGGCCGTCTCTATCCATGCATACTCGCAATCTCCTTGATCATAGGGCTCGCGGCGCGGATACGATCCCCCACGAAATAGAAAACAGTCGGAATGGAGATGCAGACGGCCTCGACGATCCCCAGCAGGGTCCCAGCCCAGTTCAGCCCCAGCGTTCCATACATCGACGGCCCCGCAAGCGGCAGACACGCACCCATGATACTTCTTAGCACCATATTCCCCGCCAACGCAGACGCAGCGTAGATCCCATACGACTTCGCCATATAATTACTCGCGTAGATGAAGACACAGGCGTTGCCCATGCCGAACGGGACACCAGCGAGAATCGGCACGATCCAGTGGACATTTGGACGGCACGTCCAGGAGAACCATAGCTGGCCGACGGCCAGAAGCGTCGCTCCCAGACAGACGATGCTGACCATCGCCTCTGGGGGAACGGTACCGGTTTCCGGGTCCTTGCGGTGGGCGTTTATGATTCTGCGGAAGAGAGGTTCGAGGGCTATGGCTATGAGGACGCCGACGCCTATTCCAATGAATGAGAGGCCGGCGATACCTGGTGCCCAGCCGCGTTCTTGCTGGAAGGCGATGGGGTAGGCGACGAAGCAGAGATAGAGGATTGCGTAGACGATGGCAACGTAACTATCCCAGAAGATACTGTCATTGTCAGTTTGGCATTCAAGAGGATTGAGGGTGATTGCCTACCATATTGGCTCCGTCAGCATCATCTTTATCGGCCGCTTGAGACTGGTTTGGAGCAGAGACATGAACCCTTGCTGGTGATCGTAACGCGTCCACCATTTTGGGTTGTTTGTCTCCTTTCGTCGCTTTGCCGCTCTCTTCTTCAGAATAACTGGCGCATAAGTCTCTTTGATAGAAGCGAGCAGCACCAAGACCACCCCGCCAATGATCAGAACAATCCAGTTCGTCCATCTCCATCCGAGATACTGAAACACAAATCCTCCAATAATTGGACCATACACTGGGCCATTTGCTGGACCAATCGACCAGATCCCAAAGGCCAGAGCGCGGTGTTCATCTGATATGACATCGTTGACTGAAGCAGGCGAGTTGGACATCATCGCACTGCCGAAGAATCCGCCGAAGAAGCGGCTGGCAATGATTGAAGTGATATTCTGCGCCAGGGCACTAGGCAGAAGAAGCACAAGGAAGACACTCATCGAGACAACGTAAACAGGCCGTCGGCCCACAACCTCACTCAGCGGAGCAACGAATAGACTCCCGGCAGCCATTCCTAGAAGATACGTCGTGACACCAAGCAGCGCGGTGAGCTTTGAAACATGGAAATCCTCCATCAACCCGGGAATACCGGAAGTGTATAATGTGCTGAAGAGACTGATGACTGTTGCACCCAGGCTCATGACCACCACCGTGAGGCCCTTGTACCATAGCGGCCAAGTACGCGGATTCTCACTGTCGACGCTTTCCCAGTATATCTCATATTCGGGAGGATTTTGGACGCTTGAAACCAGAGTGACTTTGGGTTCAATGCTGGCAGACGGATAACCCTCTGCGCCGGCCGTGTAGCTGCGCGTCAGATCATGTTCTCTCTCTGGCGGGGAAGCCTGTCTGTTGGCTTCTTCATCATTGATGGGGGGATCCATCATGTGCCGGCTAAAGAAAGAAGGATGTCAAATCGTCCAGACCACTGTCGACTGATCATTGGTAACCCAGGAATAGATACTAAAACAGGGATACACATATTTATAGGAAATCTATGTCTAGTCAAACGGCTTCTGAAGTTCTGATAGCCGACGGCAATGCTTAGCCGCTCCTGACGATTATTTCTGATATTATTAAGCTCTAGGTGGCGAGCAGAGAGGATTCCTAATATCTATCCACGAAAGGGGAAACATTATTCAAGATTCTCGAAGGATTTTAAAGTTTTTTTCCTAGGATTGTTTATCTTGATATAGATGTCTTGGCGGAGATAGTGACTGAAAACGGCGTCTTGGCGGAAATTGTGGCTGTTTTAGCTAGTGAAATATCTTGAATACTCCGTAGAGGCGTGCGGCAAAAGTTTTTAGGTTAAGCCGGGTATCGTGACGTGCCTATTGCCCAATCATGGTTATCAACAATGACGACCTGGCGACATGATTGGCTACATGTTACGGCATCCCGCACGAACCAGTGTCAAAACTTTTGGTGCAGGCCTCCATCATCAGATACTTCTTGATATCCACATCTGAGTAATGTAACTTCTTTCTGTTTACATCGCATTTGTCAGACTGAGTAATCCTTCTACGTGTGTATTGTAAGAGTTGTACTCTTCGCGCCATGTCCTTTGTATATAAAGCCCAGATAACCATACTCCTAGAAGAAAGAAGAATCAAAAGTATTGACCAAGTATATACAGAGATCTAAAGCCCTTACTTTACTATCACAATGACTCCAACCTTGAACATCACGCATATCGGCACCGCCACCGCCATCCTGGAGATCAACGGCGTAAACATGCTCACCGATCCCTTTTTCTCCCCTGCCGGTACCAAATTCCCAGTCAACGAAGTGATTCACCTTCTCGTCGACGACGACCCTGCCCTCCGTCTAGACCAACTCCCAGTCATCGACGCCGTCCTCCTCAGTCACGAAGACCATGACGATAACCTCGACGACCTGGGCCGACGCCTCCTAGACGGCCGCCGCGTCTTCACAACCGTTGACGGCGCAAAGAACCTTTCTCCCCGTCCGGCAGTCCACGGCCTGAAACCCTGGGAGAGGATCAACGTCACCATAGCCGGCAAGAAGTTTGAGATCATCGGCACGCCGACACAGCATCTCCCCGGCGGCGAATGCACCGGTTTCATCATCACAGGCGAAGGCTTCGGAACTGGTCGCGATAACCTCCCCAAGGCAATCTACTTCTCCGGCGATACGGTCTACATCGAAGACCTCAAAAAGATGGCGGATGAATACCATATCTGCGCGGCGGTGTTCAACCTGGGGAATGCGCATGTGCCGTCTGACCTGGAGGATCCCAATAGTCCGCTTATAAACATTACCATGGATGGGAAGCAGGCGGCACGGCTGTTCCGGGATATCAAGGCCGATGTCTTGATTCCGATGCACTATGAGTCGTGGCATCATTTTACGCAGTTTGGAAAGGACCTGCGTGCGGCGTTTGAAGAGGAGGGAATTAGTGATAAGGTTTGCTGGCTTAAGCCTGGTGAGGTAGTGTCGGTGTTGTAGGTTCATATATCAGCATGTGAGGGCATAGACAGGTGTATATAGTTCATGTTCATACACAGATTTATAGATTAGAAGGAAATTGAGATTACTGTCATCCTCAATATGAATGATCAGAAATTAAGCTTGTACTTTGGTAGACTAAAATCCTTCAAGATCTATGCATATACATGCAGAGCAGCCAAGACCAGACCAAGTAGCTTGAGTCAAGCTAGCGGTTAGTAGGAGTAATTTTCATGCCTTTTTCACGTTCACTTACATATAGTTTACATACTACTTTCCCGTGCGTCACGGGGAATCTAAAAATGAACTATGCCAAAATCCTCCTTTATTATCCATTCACAGTTGGAACAGTTGGAACCACACCATTACCTGAGCGGACTAGTCTATATCATCATTAGATCCCGTTTCTTCGCTTTTAACCGAGTTCAATAGATCCCTGAGACTGCCGATTTGGTTCACTCAAGATTGTCAGTTAAACCACTCTGTCATATCCCTCAGCACAGCAGCGGCGAAAGCTAATCAACTCTATTTTGCATCATGCCGGAAACGGTGACTGGAAAAGGGCTGAGCCAGCTTCCGAATGATCCGGATGTGATGGCAGCAGGCCTGGAGTACCGCGATAGCAACCCACTGCACGAAGCAACCATCGGCGGCCATCTCGAGATCGTGCAGCGTTTAATTGATCCAGTCTTCAGCTTGGACGAAAAAGGTCCTAATGTATATTCTGTTATGTGTATGGCACCACTGTATCTTGCGGCACAGTACAAACAGAACAGGTCCAGATCGCACGCATCCTGCTCGAGACCGGCGCAGATCCCACCCGGCTGGATGTTACGGACGCGGAGGAGATACATGCCGTCTCCCGAGAGACTCGCGCTGGGTTTATGACCGCTGCATACTGGAATGCCGTAGAGGTGCTCCAGCTGCTCATCGACCGGCTGCTCCCGTCTAACCACATCTCGCCCCGCGAATGGGAACAGGCTGTCGGCCATGCGGCTGCGGAACCGCCATGCAAAATCACTCAAGATTCTTCTGCGGTACTACCCCGGCCCAATTCGTCAGGAAATCCCCGACGACGCGCTGACGTAGGCTGCGGCGTACTGCCTATGGGATGAGCATGAGATGATGCTTCGTGCTGAGGCGGTGCTCTGGGAGGCCCAGATCCAAGTCATTCGCCTTCTGCTCGCCCGTTGTGCCAATCCGAACTGGATGAGGAGAGACTCACCCTGGACGAGGCTCATCCTGCACTCGGCCTTCTTGACCGCTTAGGGGCTAGACACGATCCAGATGCTGCTTGACTATGGCGCGGATGTCCAGGTAGTCGATCACCTAGGTATATCTGTCTTGGCCCAGGCAGTAATAAATGGGAATCCGCAATCGTCCGCTTCTCCTGGAATAGCCGAACCAACGAGCGGCTGCCATTGGAAAGGTGGTATAATGATTCAAGTACATACTGTCCCCTGGGCGGGCCAGTGGGGTCACTGCTGCATATTGCGGCATATGGAGCACCCCTGGAGACAATACAATTACTGCTTGAAAATGAGGCCGACCCATTAGCAGAGGGTAATAGTAATGCTCTGCCCTTTCGTTCTGCGTGCCAGGCCGGGCGAATAGATGCGTTGAGCTCCTCTGGTCGCTTTCTAACTCCGATCATCTGAAGAGCAGGGTGACTGAAGAGGATAGACACCACTGTTCCTGGCTGTGGTCCCTGCGTCCTATGCTGACAGCGCGGTGGCTGTCTTGACCGTCTTGGTCAAAAAAGGGGCTGATGTGAATACTCAAGACCGCCTGGGGCGTACTCCGCTGGCGTTTTGAATTCAAGAACAGGGATCATACGCGCGGGAGAGTGTTATTGATCTTCTCAGGACGCATGGTGCTGATACCGAAGTAATAAGAGATTCTGAGGGCAGATTCGTCAAGGACTGGGCAATTGAGCAAGGGTGCGTGTATGATTGGGATAAACAGGTGGTCCGGAGTGAATAATCTCCGAAGTAAATCCGCTTGATCTTTGACGCAAGATATTGGCCACCGGATCGTATAGCGGAGGAAGACGAGGGCTGCCATTTTTTCAGCTTTGCCAGACTATCCACACAAATTATCTCACATTTGTCTTATACTTGATGCTGACCAGTGGTCATTGGCTGGAGATGCCATTCGGGGTTTCGCCAAAAGAGGTTGGTTAGTTAGGGTTGCGCCCAAGAGGGGACAATCTCATCCATCATGGCTTATTCCATCTTTTCCCTTCCCGCTACTATCTCATTGAACTCCAGCAAGAATGAACCGGCCGTATGATCTGATTGTGTATGGCGCCACCGGCTACCTAGGGTCTCTGGTGGTGCAGTACCTATGGGCCAACAGTCCGCAGACCCTCCGATGGGCTGTCGCCGGCCGCAGTGAGAAGAAGCTGGTGGCCCTTGTCAACTCCCTGGACCAATCCCAATCCCATCGCAAGTTGCCTCATATTATGGTAGCCACTCTAAGCGACGATGATCTTGGGAGCATGGCATCACAAACCCGTCTGGTGCTCAACACAGTCGGAGTAAGTCCTTCAGCTCCCGCACTGAATCAAGCTGACAACAGATATGTACAGCCATTTTGTAAATACGGCACACCCGTCGTAATAGCCTGTATTGAGAACTCCTGTGCCTACGTGGATTCCACTGGTGAACACGTCTGGACGCAGCAGCTGGCAGCGCAGTGGCATGACAAGGCCGTGGCCAACAATGCAATTGTATGCCCGGCGGAGCCATATACCAAGAGATGCGGATGCTGACACGCTGACGTAGATCGTCCCCCAATGTGCCGTGGAGTCCAGTCCCCCAGACCTGATGACGCTGCTTGTGGCACGCAGGCTGCGCCGTCCTCTGGGTCCCGTCTTCTTCACAATCCAACATACCTGGACTGGTTACAGCGGGGGCACAATTGCAAGCATCCTCGCCAGTCTGGAGACGTACTCGATTCGGCAGATGATGGCTGCCAGTGCCCCTCGCGCAGCCTGTATCCGCGACTCCGGACCGCATCACCCTCATTCCCGTCCGGTCGTCCCAGTCCGACGCGATCGCTTCCTGGGTAATCTCACCCTCGTTGCATTTCCACCACTCCGGTGGCTGCTCCAATGGCTGTCGCCGAAACCGGGAACCGGACCGCAGGTGACCAAAGGTAATCATTTCGTGGAGTGGAAAACCACAGTCGCAGTGGATGGGGAGGATGTGAGCCAGCCCAGTGCAGTGGGCGTCATGCGCATGAACACGGATGTGTATAGTGTGTGCGCAACTCTCGTCAGTGAAGCTGCCTTGACACTCTTGGAGATTTTAGACGGAAATGACAATGAATCGATGGTCAAGAAGTTAGGAGGGGGGATTCTCACCCCGGCATCGCTGGGGATGTTGTACGTGGAGCGGCTGGAAAAGGCCGGATTGGATTGGAAGGTGATTGAAATAGGAGGAGATGAGTAGGGCATATATCTCTGGATTCCAAGACAAGATGAACGATCTATTCAACAGTATAAACCAGCTTATTCCCCCTCGCCAATCCACACCTTAACTATGCATGCTCTTCTCTACCTCCTTCTTCACTCTCTCAAGCTTCCGCCGCGACGTTCTGCAAAAAATCTAGTCTCTGCGGTACGCTGTCGGGGGAGCAGGGGTGTCCTCAGCGCTTCTGGTCTGAATCCCCTCGCATCCCAAGCCATTTGGGGGCGTTTAAAGTAGTCAGTAAACTTGGACCTCGGAGGCGTGCTCTCCGAGGTCCACAAAGAAGGGAAAGGGTTCTCCCACGAGGTATACCGGGGGCTTTAACGGCTGAAAATATTGAACATGTTCAAATCTGCGACCGACGGAGGAAGATATGGTACTGTCTTAGACATCTCGACAACTGGAGGGGTAGGCCGAGTAATCTGGCTGGTATGAACAGGCTCTCTCGCACTTTCTGGACCATCCTTCCGTGGTGTCAATTCTAAAACTCTTAAAGATCGTTGTGACGCTTTCTCCCCC